AAAGAAAATCTATCAGTAAATACAGAATATAAAGAGAAGACTTGGAAAACTTGCCAACTAAAGAGAGGCGATATTAGGGAAAAGGGAGAAAAAAACTACAGAACAAAATTAGCGAAACACAATTAATAGAAAAAACCCGAAGGACGAGATGAAATAAAGAAACGAGAGATGGTGAAAGAAAGAGGTGATAAAGATAAAAACACGATATATAACGAGAAGAAACCGTTATCGCTCTTCCTTGAAACCCAAAAGTTACTTGATATCATGTTAGGGGGTTCCCGGGAGATGGTACAGGCTGTCTGCCAGGAGGGCGGGTTGCTATCATGAAGCCTCCTAATAAATTCATTTCCTTTCCCCCTTCACAGCGACCTCCCCCCCCCCATAACGACCCCCAAACCTCCCCCCTCTCCTCTCACAGAGACGCCCCTTCCCCCCCCCCCCTCTCTCATTCCTCACTGGTGTGCGTGACGGAGGGAAGACAGGACAGAGACGTTTCAGGTCACGAGATGTCGCCACGGGTCAGAGATTAAGGAAAAATATCTCACGAAAGGTCAAAGTATCGCTTGCAGTAGTCGAGGTGGGAGATAGAGAAACAGACCACACGAGGGGTTAAATGGGCCACAACAGGGGCGGTTAAACAGCCCACACGAAAGGCAAACCCACTATTATATGGAGTTAACTGAGCTAGTTAACTCAAAAAAAGGATCATTCGAAGGGGTTTCCTGCTCGACTGAAAATATTATGGAGGTTTTGTATATTTCTCACACATGTTGGGAGTCTTGAGATCTTCACACCCCTCTCACACTCCGGCCTCGGCTAAAGAGTCGTGTGTGTGTGTCTGGACAAGTCGCTCCACTTTACCTGTAAACGAGGTGGGTATTCGACTCCTGCTAGAAGGATCTCACCGTGTTGGGTTCTATGGTGTGGCTCCCGTCAATGTCCCCGACTTGTTCCTCTTCGTTTTCTTCTATGTCCACACTGCCGTATATATAACACAATATTACTGGCCACCACCCACACGGCGCCCCTTCCTGGAAACACAAACCGAAACTGTCTCTATTTTCCGCTTGTTACAACTTGTAATAAAGTTGTTACATCTTGGCTTAACGTGTTTATGACGTATTAGAACGTTGTTACAACTTGCTATATTGGTTGTTATAACTGGTTAGGTGGTGTTAAAACTTATTCGAACGTTGTACCAACGTCGTAGTTTCGGTGTGTGTTTGGTGGGGCCTGGCTGCCTTGTGGTCGTTCACAGAAATGTTCTTGGCAAGAAAATTCTTGCCGAGAATTCGACCCTCGTCTGGTCGAAGCCAAGTTCATGTAAGAACACGAGGTACACAGCAAGAACATGACTGGTCTATCGTGTTACCTGTCCACGTCGAAATATGACATTGTGCATGCTGTAATATTAAAGAACACTTCTGCAGTTGTATAAAACTGAAACAAAACTGTGATAAAAATAAAAACAATTTTTTGTTTATAAAAATACATGACTTGAACAATGCGAAGTATAATTTATGGGTGTTTGTTGCTCTGTTTGTGAGTCCTTTGAGTCAGTGGTCTCTGTGGTCGACCTTGTCTCTGTGAGTCCGTGTCTGTGTGAGTCCGAGTCTCTTTGGGTCCGAGTCTGTGAGGCTGCCATCGCTCCAGCGTCTCAACAGATCAAGTTTTGATGACCCTTGAACCATTAAGCTTTATCATAATATTTAAAGGTATTAACTAGATTTTTGGAAACTAATTACATGACGTCTTCGAAGACACCTGAGAGCTCCTACCAGCGTGCCAGCGTGCAGGTGTGGAAAGTCAGTCTTGTTTTGCACAGGAACTTTCTCAGTGGGCACAATAATATCCATGAACGACGTTGACTCAACGTCGAAGTAACGTTGAACCAACGTTGGGTCAACGGTGAATTGACGTTGAGGATTTCAACGTCAATTCGGGACGCGAGTCTTATTTTCCTCGGCGTTAATCTTGGACATTGAGCCGACGGGGTTGAAGCCAGGTGTTCACATCTTCATAAGGGTCATAAATTTTCCGTTATCGGGGGACTGGAAGCCCGATAACTTCCTGTACTTAGGCTTACCGAGTTCTCTCTCTCTCTCTCTCTCCCTCTCTCTCTCTCTCCCTCTCTCTCTCTTGGCTAACTGTTCACCTTTCCCCTTGGATGCAACCCACAACAGTTGCCTAACTCCCGGGGACCTATATACTGCTTGGTGAACAGAGGCATCAGGGGGGAAATGATTCGTGCCCAATCTTTTCTGTTTAGACTGAGCACCTGTTGGGAAGGTCAGTCTGGAGCATCAACAGGCCATTCTCAAGCTTCAGTAAGCATTGGCTTCCTCCTTCGTCCTCCCTTATCATTCCTCTCTCTATTCCCCCTCCTTCTCCTGCTCCCTTTACACTACTCCATCTTCCCTTCCCTCTCTCTTCCCTCCTCCTCCTCCTCCAAACTACCCCTCACCCAAGAGAAGAAATCCTCAACCATCTTTCTCCTCTTCTTGCTAATAACTGAAGCATGGGGGGAACTTTTCAACTCTAAATATACACCCAACATCTTTACCAACTCTTAAATGGTTTTAGGTGCGTTTACCTCAAAGGTGAAGCTGTTTGTGATGCAGGGGGAGGGGTAGGAGAGGGAGAGAGGGGAAGAGAGGGAGAGAGGGGAGGGGGAAGAGAGGGAGGGAGGGAGAGAGAGAGGGAGGGGGAGGAGAGGGAGAGAGGGGAGGGGAAGCAGGTGAATACACACACAAAAATACAGTTTACGGACAGGTTCAGAAATTGGTTCGAAAAGTTAATAAAAAGGAAGTAATTGCAAACTTAAACGCTGGCATCTTTTTCTCCTGTGGGAGGGGAGGTGGTAGGGAGGGGGGGGGTCAGGGGAGAAGTGGGAAGGGGGGACGAGGAGGAGGAGGTGGGGATAGAAGGACAACGAGGGATAATGGAAGAAGAGAGAGAGAGAAAGAGAGAGAGGGGAAGGAAGAGGTGAGGGGAGAGGGAATGGGAGGAGAGAAAATGGGGAGTAATCTGAACCTGACACTCACACACCTGGGTAACTCACTCACACACCTGGGTAACTCACTCACACACCTGGGTAACTCACACACCTGGGTAACTTGGTTCTAACTCACACACACATATGAGAAATTTTATCTGAGAAAATTACAATGGCGTGACACTGACCTCCTCGCTGTGTCCCCTGACAGTGTCATGACACTGACCTCTGTTGACTCCTTGACAGTGGCGTGACACTGACCTCCTCGTTGAGTCCCCTGACAGTGTCATGACACTGACCTCTGTTGACTCCTTGACAGTGGCGTGACACTGCCCTCCTCGTTGAATCCCCTGACAGTGGCATAACACTGACCTCTCTTGACCCCTTGACAGTGGCATGACACTAACCTCGTTGTGTCCCTTGACAGTGGCATGCTCGACGGTGACAGTGTCAAGGTGTCAGGCGGCACTGAGGACGCTGGTACAGTTCCCGTGGTTCCAGCCAACCTGCCTGTGCCGGGAGCCGAGACTCGACCCCCAGTGTAACGCCTTCAGGGACCTCGTCTTCGACCACCCCTGCGTCTTCGTCACCAGGAAAGGTAATCTTCGGGCGTTCTAAGACACGTAATTTGTTCTTGTGTAAGTGACTACAATGTAATCCGTACGAAGGTTTCTCGGCGATATTTACTTCTATCGTGGAGATGAGTTCCTTAAAGTGTGGTGATGAGTATCTCTAGAGACGTGTGTGCTTACTAAAGAGAGAGAGAGAGAGAGAGAGAGAGAGAGAGAGAGAGAGAGAGAGAGAGAGAGAGAGAGAGAGAGAGAGAGAGAGAGAGAGAATAGTGAGAGGAGGAGACAGGACAGGTCCAAATAGAGAGAACGTCATAAAAATCAATAATTTTAATAAACTCGTGTGATGGCCTATAAAATATAAATTAAATCGTTACAGATTAAAAAAAAAGCTCCGACAAATAAATTATATACACAGTATTATTTATGATACGTCCACCAGGGAATCCTCAAACTGTGAACTGATAATGAAACTGTGCTAATATTTTTAGGGTAAAATGCCCCGATATTAACAGTCCTGGATCTGCTGTAACAATTTCATATATGGATAAAATTGAGCACTAGAGAATGTGGTCATTCATTATACAGTGCATATATATGTGTGTGTGTGTGTGTGTGTGTGTGTGTGTGTGTGTGTGTGTGTGTGTGTGTGTGTGTGTGTGTGTGTGTGTGTGTGTGTGTGTTTGCAAAGATATAGCAACCCAAAAAAGCTGACTCTTATTTTTGTCAAATTGACGATGAAAAGATCTATATAAACCTTGCCTTCAACACAGTCATTTGGAGGATTTTTTTTGGTTGGACCAACATTTAAAAGAGACAAAAATGATTACTCATAAACCGTAGTCTTGGTTTATTTATAAGCTTGAAAGCTTTGTTTATAGGCTTGAAAGTTTTGGCGAGTGATAACGCTTCAGAAAGGATGTCATTTCTCGAACCATGAACGGCCAGAAAACGGCGTTGAAGAGATGACAATGAACGGCGTTGAAGAGATGAACGGAGGACATTAGAGATAATTGGGACTCACCTAAGTGCGCATGCCGGGGTTGATTTTAAGCTCTCTGGACCACTTCTCGACCTATACACAACTGGTGTGCGTACGGGTTCCTGAGCCTATTGGGCTCTACCATACCTATATATCAGAAATATTTATCAATGGACTTGTGAAGAGTTATTATAATTTGTTTTATTCATGACCTGTTCCTCTCCCTCTGGGCGTATGTCCTGGCGCGCCTCCAGAGGTGGACATGCACCCGTTAAGCTACATCCCCAACTGTGAGGAAGCTGCAGACATATGCCGCAACAACCCCTGGTGCATGCAGCGATTCGATCTCTTCCGCGATACGTGCAAGTTCCGTGAGGGCCAGTGCCGCAATCCCGATAGGTGAGTGGACCCGTGCTCCCCCTCTCTAGGGGTATATCATCCCCCATGATTGATAGTCTGCCTGTCCTTTGGCTCATGCTCGTGGCCTCTCTGGGGTGGCTTAATCTTCATCAATCTGCCCCTCCACACAGGGAAGACTGCCTGAAGGCCTGGCTACAATTGAGGGAGACGCCCCTGCTGGGATGTATCTGTCCTGACGGCCTCGATAAGAAGTGTTCCCGCCTCTACTCCCTCGTCAATGAGAACCCTTGTGTTGGTAAGGCCCTCACTCTACTCTACCTTTATCCTCATGCAAAGGAATATCCAGACTCTGCATTGTCAGTCCTCATATGCATTTATATTTATTTTTTTTTCTCTTTAGGTTAAAAAAATACAGGAATTCTAATTTTAATTGATCATCTTAGCATTTTTGTTATTTAAATATAGTTTTATGTCACGTCTCAATGGTGATTTATAGTTCATAACAGGTACAACTGGTTATTTGTGATGAGCGGTTCGTGGTGATTTATGTCACTGAGTGGTTATTGGTTGCTCTTGTCATGTAAGAGTGATTAATTCTTTGTGACTTGTTACGTACGAGGGGTTCTTGTTGATTCACGTCACGTGCGAATGGTTCTTGGAGGCTCATGTCACGTACGAGTGATTCTTTGTAGTTTAAATCACGTTCGAGTGGCTTTTGATTCTCCATTCCAGGTAAAACATTTTGTTGACAGAGCCCAAATGCATAGGGGGGGAATTGTGTGAAACCCCGGTTGTGCTTTGGAGAAGCTTCAGAATCCTAGTGAGGGCAGTAGCACTTCCGGTTGCAATTCTTTTGACCATATCGTGGTACAGATGACTAAGGCGCATCTGGGAACATCCCGTGTGTAAGTTCGAACCCCTCTTCAAGGCCGTTGTGGATTTGTTCAAATAGGGACACTTTTGACAGCTCATCCTCATACACAATGACTAAATAATTATTTTGTCAAAACTAAAACACTTAACCTAACCTAACCTAACCTAACCTAACCTAACATAACAATACACAAAATTCTAACATGATTATATTAATTAATATTTTAGAGAATACCGTTTTTTTATTAGACAATATGTTAAAACTGATGAATGCTTCTTCAGGGTCGGAAGCAGCTTGGACGAACACAGCCTGAGGGTAGGCTGCACCATAGCTGTTTCCAGAAATTTGTTATTCATTACAAACCCCTTAAACTTCATGATATTCACTGTTCCCACTTTATCAACTTATCTCCTGCTGTATGAGAACATATCGAAACCTTGCAGTGGGATCGAACCCAGGTCCCTGGACTCTCCAGGCACATACACTACCGGCTGAATCATGTTGAGATTTGTGTCATAATGTTTGTTGTGGTTTTGTGTGTGTTCGTCAAAGTATATATGTATAATGTGAATGTTTACTGAATATTGATGTAAAGTTGTAACAAGGTTGTTGTTAGGTTGTATGTTGGGTTGAGTTATACATAGCCGCGACCTGATAGTGACGTTGTGGGTGTGTCACCTTGCAGGGGAGAGTTACCCCGGGCGTGTGGCTCTCATGTCACGGGTGAGTGCCGCCCTGGGCACCCAGCTCACCCGGCCAGTGCCAGTGCCAACAGCTGCTGCCACACTCCTCATCATCTCCTCCTCCCACGCCGCTGAACCCTTCTATCCCCTCTCCACCATCCACCACTTCCACCAGCACCTTCCAGTCTCCAGTACGTGACTCCAACGCCCACCCGGCAACATGGTCCAGAAATGCACATCTGCTTTGTGTACACACACACACACACACACACACACACACACACACACACACACACACACACACACACATATGTGTACCTTAAGCCACATATTCACGTCATATTCACAATGCATGTCTTACACACTTACACACCTGTTACCCTTATGTAAGAGCTACACACTACATCTGTTAAGTCTACACACTCGGCCAATCTGAGCCTCTTATTTACAATACTACATGTTTTAATTTTTATTTTTGCAATTACTTTTTTTATAATTTACAATACTATATATTTTCAATTTTTTTACATTAACTTTGTTCGTATATTCACCGTGCTGCACAACCACTGAGCTTACCTCCTGTACGCTTCTAAATGAAGCTTTTAATGACTAAAAGATTATAATAATTTTCCATGTCGGTTGACTTAGCCCCACAGTGAAGGGACGTAACTGCCGACCCTCTTCAATGTGTACAAGCACCCTCCTCTCCCCCCCCCCCCCCGCGGGTAAAACATCCTGGAATAATGTGACTTTTTCAACGTTATATAAACGTTTTCAATGTTATGTGACGTTTGCAACGTTATATGAACGTTTTCAATGTTATATGAACTTTTTCAACGTTATACGACGTTTTCAATGTTATGTGAACGTTTTCAAAGTTATATGAACTTTTTCAACGTTATATGACGTTTTCAATGTTATATAAACGTTTTCAATGGTATATGACATTTTCAACGTTATATGAACGTTTTAAACGTTATATCAACGTTTTCAATGTTACGTGAAAGTTTGAAACGTTATATAAACGTTTTCAACATTATACGATCGTTTTCGACGTTATATCAACGTTTTCGACGTTGATTCAACGTCATATCAACGTCGTTTGCAGTTCTTTACCCATGAGGGGGGAGGGAGGAGTCACGCCACCGACACATACACCCATACCAGCACCCGCTGTTGGAGGAGAAGTGGTTGTGCAGCCCTAATAGCGATACACTGATGGTCTCTCTCATTAGTAAGACAACTAGTTTGACACGGCTGTAGAGTATATCTCAGTTATGAAGACCACTATAACACGGCAGAAAAGCACATCTCAATATGAAAACTTTTCTGGCACATCAGTAGAGTACATGTCATTTCCATTTGGAGTACATATCATTTATGTACATCAGAGAGTACATATCATTTCCATTTGGACTCTTTGGTTAAGTACAGAGTGGCACATGTACATTTTATAGGCGCATTTTGGACACCTTTTTGCATGATCACTATTGCACCTTATCCTCGGCACCTACACCTAATCCCTAACACCAGTAATGGAAATGTCTCGTAGCACCTGCTCTTGGCACCTACTAGTATCAGTTATGGCACCTACTCCTTGTCATCAACCACTCATGGTACCTAGTTCCAGTACCATATTTCAAGGCACCTATCCCCCTGCACCTAGACCCGTCCCAAGCACCTAGTTTGGCAACATGTTCTTAAAGGCACAGCACCTACGTCTGTCTCAAGCACGGCTTTGACTAAACGGCTGGAGTTACTGTCAGTATGTGGGTAGTGGAAGCCGGGACGCCGCAGTGGTCTGCTTCTTTAAGTAAACACAAGCAAGCACAATCAAACTGAAACAAAGTCTTAATGGTAAAATTAATAGGAACTGCAACGTTTGGACCCAAAAACCAGTGTGTGAGTGGTACATCAAAATCGGCAAATGATCTTTATGTTAAAAATTAAGTTTTATTTGTAATCACTCGAAACAGCAAAGTCGAGGCTGGTTAACGCTTATATAAGCCATTATTGCCGAGCCGGGTACGATGGCTCTGAGGGTACACTAAAGTGTTATAGGCAACATTACCAAACATTTACGAATAGTTGCCGGGAAATTAGGCTCATAAGGCTCCACATATATACAACTAATTTTTATAATTATAGAATATTTACAAAGCCATTAGCGTAGTCTCACTTGCCTTGCCATTTTTTATTTTAAAATGGTTTGAAATTCATTTGCATTATCGCATTTTTTTGTTTAATTTCCATATTAATGTATTAATCAGTTTTATATAGCTCTTGAGAACACACTTATATGTTACATTACCTGGAGTGAACCTGGAACATACCTGGAGTGGGTTCTGGGAGTTCTACTCCCCCAAGCCCTGCCTGAGGCCAGGCTTGACTTGCAATAACTTAGTCCAGAAAGTTGTTGCTGGGAGCGACCTGCATGCCTATATATCTACCACAACCGCGCTAAAGGTTTATATAGATGAGAGTGAGATATTAGTGTTGTGTTCGGGTTCCAGGAGGTATCCGTTTAGAAGATGTGAGTACCAGCAAGGTGTTCCCAGGCTCACAACTCTCCAGCAAAATCAATCCATTATCATGCTAAATTATGCTTATTGATTATGAGTCCCCATTCTCTAGTATGATAGTCCATATAATCACAGGAATGCAAATGGACAAAATATGCATGTTTGCACAGGTACAACAGTTCACATTTTGTCCAGATGGTACAAATATTCACCGAAACATTTTTGTTTCCTAAAAAAAATATTAAAATAGAAACCTAGCTTATCCAAGGTCTTATATAGCACAGGTGTGCTTCATGTGACTCGAAACTGCTTAGATTAGACCTGGAATAACTTAGCCCCTAAGTTAGTAGAAGCGCGGTAGTGGGTGGACCACTGGATGGTAGTTAGTCATATTTCTCTTACATTCCAAAAAAATATTTCGTAAAAATAGTAAACGTAAGATAAAAACAAGAAAAAAAATATATATATATCCTACATGAACAATACAGAAGTAAATTGTACCAAGAACATCGTATAAGATTAAACGCTACAGACGCATCGTGTGGAGAACTCGTCGAGGTAATATGTACCTGTGTCATCGCATCTAATGTTGCACAGTTATCGCACAGCAGTTGAGTGTTGCATGCATAACGAGGCACCAAAAAGGGACACACCTGACAGTCTTGTTTACCTGTGTGGCACCACCACGAGAGGTCTGTATATGCCCAAAAGGTCACAACGCTTCACACGGTAGGAAGGTGTCCACCAGCCAGCCTGGTCGTCAGGGGACGCGGTGGGAGAAAGGTCACAACGCAACAAAGTCACTCAGCATTATGTTCTTGCTCTAGACGAGGCGCTCATAGTGTTCCAAGTACATTACTGGAGGACCTATAACGCCTTCGTCGCTCGACATTGAAGACATTATCTCACTGCACAGTTGCAAACTTTGACTGCAACAAACTAGACATTAGTGGGAATATCGGAGGACATTAAGACTGTTGTAACCTTCTTCCACTATGGAGCCAAACTGAGGTCAGGCTGGTGTGTGGTTCACCTTCAGGTGTGTGGTTTATCTGCAGGTGTGTGTGTGTGTGTGTGTGTGTGTGTGTGTGTGTGTGTGTGTGTGTGTGTGTGTGTGTGTGTGTGTGTGTGTGTGTGTGTGTGTGTGTGTGGCTCACCTGCAGGTGCTGGTGAGCCACACAGGTATTCTGATTTGAAGTGCAAATACGTAGAGAGTAGCAGGTGTATGAGAATAGCAGGTTTATAGAAGTAGAAGATTTATGGGATAGCAGGTGTAGAAATTGCATGCTAGGAAGGAGGGATATAAGATAGCAGGTGTGTTAAGATTGAGTTTCGGAGACACAGTAGGTATGTGGAGAGAGAGCACGGGGGACACGGCAGGTGGATGACGGAAAAAGAGAAAAAGAGAGAGAGAGAGAGAGAGAGAGAGAGAGAGAGAGAGAGAGAGAGAGAGAGAGAGAGAGAGAGAGAGAGAGAGAGAGAGAGAGAGAGAGAGAGAGAGAGAGAGAGAGAGAGAGAGAGAGAACAAGGGGAGAACACAGCATGGACTCAGCATGGAGGGGAAGGGAGCACAATGTCCTGCTTGGAGCACCATAGTATATAAGCCTCACCCTGAGCCATGTCAACACAGGCACCGCTGCACCTCACAACTGTTAGTATTGACTGTAGATAGACACACCGCTAGATATTGCAATGTCCTTCCTATAAATTATATCCCTTATGTATAAAAACTACTTCGTTATAACAATTAATACAAAATACTTTAAGAGAATACTGGATTATTAATGTTTAGTGGTGAAGATTAATATTTATTTGAGAAATAAAGTGTAATGTAATGAAAATGTCAATAATAGTATGTTTTTAGTGATATTTGGCGAGTAATTTCATTTCCCCCAACTGATAGTATTGTTGTTGTTCCTCTTCCCCCGCTGGTGACGCGGTACAGAGTCTGACCACAACGTGTCGCTGGAGCAGCTCAAGCACGTGGCTGGCACCTGTCATTCTGCCCTCGAGGACTGCATGGCTGACTCAGGCTGTCGGAGGTCAGCTGCGTCACTTCCGTCAGCTGTTTCATTATTAAGCTTGTCGCAAACTTGTGACGGTTGCGTGCGTGTGTACTGAGCTTGATGTGTCCACCTAGAGGCACTTGCATGTTCGTTAGCTCCCAAGACCCGCCTTTCCAGCCACTAGTCAAATATTGCAATGGCTTCCTTACTTAATGTTCCTTTGGCTATTAAATTAGTGTCTATAATCTCTTCTCCAAACCCATTCCATTATGTTAAACCAATTCTTTTCCTAATGTCACTCAACGTTACTAGTTACCAAAAATTATTCTTCTCTACTAATAGTCGTCTTGAAAACGGCTTCTTTATCAACTCTGCCAGTTCCCTTTTGATATAATTTATACTATCATTTCTCAATTGATTTATTTTGCGTTTGGTGAGAATGTGTTCTCTCGGCCTCTCCGTCTCTCTCAAGTCTGGGACAGGTATTATCGCACAATTGTGTGTATTTACAAGTTGTGCCTGCGGGACCGAACTGTTAGCTCTTGGACCCCGCCTTTTTAACCGTAGGTTGTCCAATGTCCTGACTCCCGATCTGTTTTTATCTAGCATATCTGCTACATATATTTTTTGTTAACACACACACGCAACTGCAGGATGCAGCCCGTAGTAGCTGTCTAATTCCCAGGTACCTATTTACAGCTAATTGAACATCAGATGCAAATAAATTATCTGGCCATTTGTTTATGCCACGGCCGGGAATCTAACCCGGGCCCTTTGGACTACGTCCCCCCCCCCCCCATGAGCGCTGTCCTCTTGGATACGAGCACCTGAAATGTGTGTGTGTGAATGTGTGTGTGAGTGAGTGTTTCGTCGGGGGGTGCAAGGGGGGGGAGGTCCATGGAAAACCTGTGCAAATAATATCCAAATATAATTGTCATATAGTCGTCCCTGAGTATAAATTCATATTATTTCCTGACCAGCTGCCAAAATTTGGATTTGGTCGTTCACTGATTACCCTGTTAGCCAGTTATTTTATATTGATTTCCACTCACCGTAATCATTCATAATATTAACCATCTTAATATTTACATACATTTTGACTCCATTAGTGGACACCTTCAATTATTCTTATATTTGTTTATTTTTCTCGCTCTTCTACATATCCTTAAACACAGTTTTCTGTTCGTCAGTCACCTGGAGATGGTGAGCAGCCACTGCGACACCGCCTACTGCCACAAGGACGCCTGCAGGAGCTCCATCCAGGACATCTACAAGTTCCTGCTGGAGACCAACCAAGACCTCGCCCTCAAGATCGCCCTCTGCGTCTGCAGGTCAGTCTTCCTCTCCACCACTCCTTATAATGCTGGATTACCTTATGCAGGCCATGAATAACGTGGCTAATGTATGTTGACCAGACCACACACTAGAAGGTGAAGGGACGACGACGTTTCGGTCCGTCCTGGACCATTTTCAAGTCGATTGTCAATGGACTTGAGAATGGTCCTGGATTACCTTATGTTCCAAACAAGTTACAGGTTACTAATGAATTATGTAAAATTGTAAGTTACAGACCTGGAAGTTACAGCGTTTATCAGTAGAGTGGAGTCAAGCAGAGTTTGGATGTGGAAATTAGAACGCTTGTGAGAACAGTAGAGTCCGAGCAGAGTGTGGATCTGGAAGCGCCCACCACGCCGGCGGTACTTATCAGGGTCTTAGCTGGTAAATAAACAAACTTTTCTCATTCTCTGGCGAAAGGTTTGCCGACAGAGTTTTCTGGGAAAAGTTGGAGCAGTGTGTGTGTGTGAGAAGCTCAGGCTGTATAAAGCTCTCTTTTATCAATTACCGTCTAACATAAACATGACGGTCTTCATCGTCGTGTTTAACTAAATATATTTTTCTTTGGTTTTCTCGTTACTGCTGAATCAGTTTTGTGAATATCGAAGAAAGACAAGATCTGTTTGTTCTTGTCTCTAAGCCAGACCTCCCTGGCTTTGTACACCGATGGATCGGAAAGCCAAATATACTAATCGTGTATTGACGATATATTTTCGAGCATACACAATGTGATGGCGTTCAATGAACAAGTATTACTCAGGGGCCAGATTTACGAAGCAGTTACGCAAGTACTTACGAACGTGTACATCTTTTCTCAATCTTTGGCGGCTTTGTTTACAATTATTAAACAGTTAATGAGGTCCGAAGCACCAAGAGGCTGTTTATAACAGTAACAACAGTTGATTAGCAAGTTTTCATTCTTGTAAACTTTTTAATAAATGTAACCAAAGCCGTCAAAGATTGAGGAAAGATGTACACGTTCGTAAGTACTCGCGTAACTGCTTCGTGAATCCGGGTCCAGGTCCCCATACGCATCCTGTGTGTAAGTTTGGGCGATAAGTTGGTCACATATATAGATGAGGTACTGAGCCACAGTGATCGTTATGTTAAACAATTTACATGTGTAGTGAAGGGAAGGGAACTATCAGGAGAAAGCGCCAAGCCATTATGACTATATATAATATATATATATATATATATATATATATATATATATATATATATATATATATATATATATATATATATATATATATATATATATATATATATGTCGTACCTAATAGCCAGAACGCACTTCTCAGACTACTATGCAAGGCCCGATTTGCCTAATAAGCCAAGTTTTCCTGAATTAATATATTTTCTCTAAATTTTTTCTTATGAAATGATAAAGCTACCCATTTCATTACGTATGAGGTCATTTTTTTTTTAGTGTAGTTAAAATTAACGTAGATATATGACCAAACCTAACCAACCCTACCTAACCTAACCTAACCTATATTTATAGGTTAGGTTAGGTTAGGTAGCCGAAAAAGTTAGGTTAGGTTAGGTTAGGTAGGTTAGGTAGTCGAAAAACAATTAATTCATGAAAAGTTGGCTTATTAGGCAAATTGGGCCTTGCATAGTAGGCTGAGAAGTGCGTTCTGGCTACTAGGTACGACATATATATATATATATATATATATATATATATATATATATATATATATATATATATATATATATATATATATATATATATATATATATATATATATATATATATATATATATATATATATATATATATATATATATATATATATATATAACACTTGGAAGGGAAGGGGATCAGGATAAGGATTTTGGGATGGGACGGGGGGAGGGAAGAAATGGTGCCCAGCCTCTTGTGGACGGTCGGGGATTGAAAGCCGACCCGCATGAAGCGAGACCGTCGCTCTACCGTCCAGCCCAAGTGGTTGGACATTTGTAGTGAGCTCATGACACATTGTTTTAATTTTCTTATCATGTGCACTACTTTTTATTTTAATTAATGTTATATTTTTATTTTTTAATAAATATTTTTTTAATAAAAATAAAAAATAATTTTAAAATAATTATAATAATAAAAAAAAATAATTTTAAAATAATTATAATAATAATAAAATATTTTTTTAATAAATAATTTTAATTTTAATTTAATTTTAATATTTTAATTATTAATTTTCTTATCATGTGCATAGTAGACTGTAGAGCCATTGTGATGTTACAGCGACCGGAGTCAGACGAGGTGTGTACAGGGCCAGCGACGGCTCCACCCGCCCTGCGCCCGCTTGTCCCAGTCAGTGTCGGACAGTCAGTGTCACAACCTGGGCCGTGACTGTCGCTCCGACCGTGTCTGCAGGTAACGCAACCACACAGTGTAACCACAACCTTCTGACAACATTGTGACAACATACAAATAACGGTGCATTTGCTGAGACAAATAATTGACAGGGAACTGCTCGTAATTGATTGACTAAAGCTTTCTCTAGTTTCGTAGTTTCGTAACCACAGCAAATAGGAGACACGTCAGGAATTGGTTTAGAGGGAAGGGAATGGAACTATCAGGGGATAAAGCACCAAGCCATTACGACAATATAGCACTTGGAAGGGATCAGGATAAGGATTTTGGGATGGGACGGGGGGGGGAAGGAATGGTGCCCAACCCCCCTTGGACGGTCAGGGATGGAACGCCGACCTGCATGAAGGGAGACCATTGCTCTACCGTCCATCCCAAGTGGTTAGGTAGGTGTGAGTTGGAGTCAACCGGCGCTGCCTTCACATTGCATACACCATGTCACCTCTATCTGAAGAACAATGTCAGAGGTTGTGGCATGGAAAATTACAATTATTTCATATCAGAATAAATGATTTAATTAACAGCACTAAAGATAGTTATATTTACAAATTAGCTAAGATGTGTCTAGCTATAGTTGGGTGCAGCTATTGGGTTCCTGTTCACAACTTTAAAATATATTGTCTTTGATGACACGTATGACTGTACCTACGAGTAGCTGCAATCATAATATAATAAAAATTCATTAAATAAAAGTTAGCATATATTTGTGGAATAAACTTGAGGTAGGTGTACCGCTGTAGTGGTGGTCTCAGGGCCGTGTTTGCTGGATATGTAGGTCAATTTGCCTTCGTTGATATTTAAAAATTGTTTTTGCTTTCCTACAATATTATTGAATATCAATTTTTGATTGTTTTAACACCTTTTAATATAATAAATAGTTTGAATTTAGGCTCAGGCTGAGACGTGAAACAAACCAACGGAGTATGACAGGGAGAGTGCCACGTTGTTCAGGAGAGAACTTTTGTTCAAGAGAGAACTTTTGTTCAGGAGAGACTCGATCACTCCTTACAGCTAGTGAAGTTTTTTGGAGTTGAACACTAATAAATTATGTGAACGGTTAGGTTTGGTTGATTGGGAGTGAGTTTGAAATGAGATCACTTGTCAAGCACCTGAAAAATATCATTGATCAAAATAATTTACCTTTCTAATATTGACAACATAATTCATTCAAAAAGAAATGTACACTTCTCTACAATTAAGACACTGTGTGTGTGTGTGTGTGTGTGTGTGTGTGTGTGTGTGTGTGTGTGTGTGTGTGTGTGTGCTAGCTGCAGCTAATGAACTGAACGTAAACATATTTATGTCTACCCTATCCACTGCCAACTGGTGGATAGGTAAGGGCTGCACATTAAACTAACAACCTTTTCCTGGAAAAGTCGTACCGCTTTCCTGGGCTCGTGAGAATATATAGCCTGTCATTCAGAACTAAGGCTGCCCCTTCATACAGAGGCAGCGTCGAATGATTCCCATAGCTTCAAATTTGTATACATCACGTGATCTCGTGACATCAAGGAATCGTGATTCAAGGAATCTATATAAGGGCCGGAATTTTAAGAACTGTGAACAAGTCAGCAACTGGGGCAGTGCTGACCATCACTAACCATGCCAACAACAGCTACTAACAACCACTAACCACCCAGGTACAGGCTGGAGCACTACGAACTGTCGTGTGCAGCAGACACCATGACGGGACGGTGCGCTGGCCAGCACCAGGAGTGCACTAAGGCCATGCTGGGACTCCTGGGTACCGACCTCCACACCAACTGTGTGTGTAAGGGCAGCGCCTTCCAGGACATCAACCAGTGCCTGGCCTGGAAGCGTCTCCTCTGGGGCAACCCGTGTGTAGGTCAGTTGAACGACTTGGTTTAGATTCAGCTACTCAGAACACAAAGTTCTGAGTAGCACGGGCTATGGTGAGCCCGTAGGTCAGTTGAATGCCTCGGATGTACTGCGTACGGAAATGGAACACCTGGGCCACGATTCACCAAAGATTTACGCAACCTCTTATGTAACTTGTACATCTTTGTCTAATCATGGCCGCTATGTTTATGTTTGATAAACAGGTTAAGAGCTGCGAAGCCTCGAAACCCAAGGATATTATTGTTATTAACAACCTCGAAGGGCTTCGGAGCGCATAAAGTGTTGAACAAATGTAAACAAATCCGCCATGATTGCGGAAAGATGCACATGTTTCGCCGGCGGTTGTGCCAATCCTTGATGAACCCCCCTGGCCCTGTATTCTCGGCACAGCAGCCAAATCATGCATGTTGTGAACGTCTGTCAGCCTCATAGGTATATGAAGCTGGAGAGCTGTATGACGGCAGAGCCTCAGTCAATTTTCCACAACTGGTCAGAATTGTTGATTGAATGACATGGGATACATACACCGAGAGGCGGGTCCCGCTCCTCGGTGTGTAGCCACTGAGAGTTGACTTTAGTCCTGCAGAAATTGTATTTATGTATTAGGTATTAAAACTTAAGATAATGCGACCAACTTATGATATCTCACAATCCACAAGTTACTTTAATACACTTATGTCACTTTAATATATATATATATATATATATATATATATATATATATATATATATATATATATCCCTCTATCTCTCTCCCTCTCTGTATGTCTGTCTCTCTCTATATACTCTATTTCTCTCTCTCTCTCTCTCTCTCTCTCTCTCTCTCTCTCTCTCTCTCTCTCTCTCTCTCTCTCTCTCTCTCTCTCTCTCTCTCTCTCTCTCTCTCTCACACTGCCGGAGTCTCAAGTGAGGACTGTGTGTGTGTGTCAACAGTTGAGTCGCAGTTGACGTATCACCTGGCGCACCTCGGACTGGACGCTGACATACTGGTGTCCTCCTTCACCGACGACCACCACCAGCAGGTCGACCCACACGACCAAGGTAAGACAAGCAGGTCGACCCACACGACCAAGGTAAGACAAGCAGGTCGACCCACACGACCAAGGTAAGACAAGCAGGTCGACCCACACGACCAAGGTAAGACAAGCAGGTCGACCCCCCCCCATCCCCCAGGGGGGAGGTCGACCCCTACGACCAGGTTTAGACGGGCTGTAGTCTGGGCTGGTCGACCCGCACGACCAAGGTAAGACAGACTCACAGAAATGTACACCCTCTCGACGAGGGTAGGATGGGCTCGTCGACTCCCACGACCATCACAGTTCATGATCCTAATTGCAAACACTTCATAAGAGGTAATGGGGTGTAGTACTAAACAAGATCTCCCGAATGGAAGCAAAGTATTACATGAGTCAACCCGCTCTCGCACAAGACAGCACATATATGACTTATTGCTTATAGTCTATATATATATATATATATATATATATATATATATATATATATATATATATATATATATTAGTCTATAGTCGGTGTTTTCTATTCAGCTTTTCAAGGTAAACTCAAATATTCACAATAAATTAGTATGTCACATGTGCACTTATTCATAAGCCAAATATTGACTATAAGCAAGTGCGAGAACGGGTTGTTGAAACAGCACGATCCCAATACGTTCAAAGGATCGATGAAATAAATGTTCACTCAAATCCATGAGTGAAGCGAGGTAATGGGGTGTAGTACTGAACTTCCGCGCTGGCTTCTATTACCTGTTGAATCGCACTAGCTAAGGAAGCGTATTCAATAATCTCTTAGAATGAGACTTCCTTTACCAGCAGGAGAGAAGGGTCCTTCGCCCCAGTATGCGGTGGGTCGTGGAGACGGCTACAACGACCACGAGTCCCCGGACGACCAGAACGACGCTGACGCCGAGTTGATCCAGGTGGACGACTCCCGCCTGCAGGCGAGGAAAGTGGGAAGCACCGCCCAGAGTGACCCCACACTGCCCCAGGTCGACCTGGCCTCGCCGCCCTCTACCACAACTACCAGTACCACTACAACGGCTACCACCACTCTGCCAGAGAGTGAGTAGCATCACTTACATATGAATCATCAGTGCCCCGTCCAACCACTTGGGCTGGACGGTAGAGCGACGGTCTCGCTTCATGCAGGTTGGCGTTCAATCCCCGACCGTCCAAGTGGTTGGACATTTCCGTTGCCACATCCCAGTCCCATCCCAAAATCCTTATTCTGACCCCCTTCTAAGTGCTATATAGTCAGACTTGACTTGGCACTTTCCCCCGATAAAACCTTGCCCCTACCACTACTATCACCACCACCACCTCTACTACCACCGCTCCCACCACCACTACCAGCAACAACAGCGTAAAGCTAAACAAAAATGATGTAGAGAGTAAACATGATAGAATACCGGTATATTATACTAGCTATTTAATACACGTTGATTTCTGAAGTAGCGTTTAACAGCATTGCGACTAATGTTAACTTGTGTGTTACAGAATACTGCTTGGTGAAGCGGGCCTGGGAGCCCTCCGCACACGTTATTGAGGCGGGCAGCAGCATCCGGGTCAGTTTACTAGAATATATCTCCCGCATAATCTTGCTAATGACCTCCTCTAGTTGTTTGGGCATCGTTCTCTCACTCCCTACTCTTACTCCAACTTGTTCCTAGATAACTGCTTTGCTCCTGCCCGAAACGCTTTGCGTCACAGTGGCTTTAGGCATTGTATGTACTAGCTCTATCTATAAATCCATCAATGTTTGTATCACACCTTGTATGTATTACTTTACCTGAATAAACATTTGAATTTGAATTTGAACCAGTGTTCCTAAATTACTAGTGCTTCTAGATTGCTAGTGTATTCCTAGATTACTTGTGTGTGTGAAGAATTCGGTATTCATTCAAACATAGCCATAATAAATGAGACTATTAGGGAATTTAACAAATTTATTAAATAAAATATAACTGCAAATAATATTGAATCAAAATCATTTTTGTCTATATATGTTTTTCAGTTATTTTACTTGTCTTCAGCTTTACAAGGAAGGAGACGAAGACTGCTCGGAGCTGTGCTTCTGTGACAATGACCAGCAGACCAAGTGTAAGGTGGGTGAGGTTGAGAGAAACGTCGCCAGGGGGCAGCACGTGCTTGTAAACACCTCGCTTATTTACATTCACGTGTTTATAAACACACACACACACACACACACACACACACACACACACACACACACACACACACACACACACACACACACACACACACACACACATTATACACATAGGGGGCCTCGTAGCCTGGTGGATAGCGCACAGGATTCGTAATTCTGTGGCGCGGGTTCGATTCCCGCACGAGGCAGAAACAAATGGGCAAAGTTTCTTTCACCCTGAATGCCCGTGTTACCTAGCAGTAAATAGGTACCTGGGAGTTAGTCAGCTGTCACGGGCTGATTCCTGGGGTGTGTGTGTGTGTGTGGTGTGGAAAAAAAAAAAAAAAAAAGTAGTTAGTAAACAGTTGATTGACAGTTGAGAGGCGGGCTGAAAGAGCAAAGCTCAACCCCCGTAAAAACACAACTAGTAAACACACACAAGAACCTACACTTGTGGAAGAGGAATTGCAAGGAAAAAAGATATCAACCGGCAAGACTAAAAGTTTTCTTCACACACACAATAAGTTGAACGTGAAATATGAAATATTGATGAAGCACTCATCACTGGGTGATGAGTCCTTGAATGTGTAGTGACAATGATGGCTGTAGAGAGAGAGAGAAGGAGAAAGAGAATGAAAGACAAGCATAAAGCAAAGAAGAAGAATACCAGAATGGCAAAGTATTCCAGCGAATAATACTATGGTAGCAGAGAATAATTCAAAGGACAAACAACTGCATAAAGTGCAAACTAAATAAAGCTGAAGAGAGATTAATGTCACCTCAACGGAACCAAAAAGAGCATTAGGCCATTATTTCGTGCAAAATGGGGAAGCTAATGGAGGATGGAACACATACAAGGAGCACAGAAGAAAAAGACTCCCCACCGCGGACGAGAGAGCTAGGAACGAGGACGTAGAAGCTAGGAGAGTGGCAAAGTAGTAGTAGAAGTAGTAGTAGTAGTAGTAGAAGTAGTAGTAATAGTAGTAGTAGAAGTAGTAGTAGTAGTAGTAGAAGTAGTAGTAGTAATAGTAGTAGAAGTAGTAACCATCTTGCAGTCTCAGGAGACTATGAATCTGCGGTCTGGTTGTCGAGACTGGAGTGGCCTCTCCAGGGCACAAAGTCAGGGTAGGTTAATATAATAACGTGTCATTATTATTACATAATCCGAAGGTCTGCCCCCAATGGTCCAAGTGGTCAGGTACACTTCCTTCACTTCGTTCTCATATCCCTTCTAAGTGTTATATAGTCATACTGGCTTAAGTGCTTTATGTTGATAATTACCTTAATATCATCCAAAATCAATGAATCAGCCTAAACAGCTTCATAGCCACACCAGGAAGATGTTTGTGTAAACAAGAGAAAACTAGTCAATAGAGAAGACAGACAATTTGGTTTCCCTTTTTACTTAGTTGAGGACACTAGTTGAAGACACTAGATAAACCTTTAGGTTTATCGAAGTCCCTTAGGTTAACTACTGACCTTATCAGGATGCTGTCTCATAATACCAACATAGATTGGATTTAGGGAAATCCAATCCATGAAGGTATTATGGAAGATGGTATCCACCATCTTCTCTTAAAAAGAGTTTTAAGATAAGATGGTAGAACTTAAACAAGGGGAAGAGGGTTGAGTAATATCACTTAAGTGTCACTCCAATATGTGCAAGGTTATGAGAAACAGACTTAAGTAAAACGCTACCAGAGCACTGCTTAGCTTGGAGGATGACAAAGTGGATGACTAAGAGGCCGACTGAATGGATGACTAAGGTGATTAACTAGATGATCAAGTAAACGACTTTGGTGACTAAATGGATGACTTAAATGAACAGCCAAATGGGCGACTCCCACAGCTAAGATGATGTTCTTGAGTGATAGTGTAGCACTTTAAAACCTCATTCTCTAACCACTTGGGCTGGACGGTAGAGCGACGGTCTCGCTTCATGCAGGTCGGCGTTCACTCTCCGACCGTGCAAGTGGTTGGGCACCATTCTTCTCCCCCCGCCCCATCCCAAATCCTTATCCTGACCCCATCCAAATGCTATATAGTCGTAAGGGCTTGGTGCTTTCTCCTGAAAATTCCCGTCCCCTGGCAGGTGCTGGACTGCCTGGAGAGCCGGCCCTGTGAGACCACTTTCGCCGTCTACAACCACAACGCCCCCGCCTACCAGATGTCCCGAGGGGCGTGTCTCTGCTACTCAGGAGATTTCATTTGCCAGCGACCCAGACCAGGTTAGTCTCTCCTTAATTGTCTTGGAAATTATCCCTGGCCATGTTAGCTTCGTCTTGAGTGTTGTAAGAGATTGGATTAGATGTAATTAATAGTGTCATTAAGTAATTTTGGCTAAAAGCAGTAGTTTAATAGACAAGACGATTGATTATCTTAAAGTTTTACGTCAACATTTTACCCCTAGTGAATGCAGTTGTGTGTTTTCAGAGGACCTACCAACAGAACCCTTCCCCCTAGTAGGTTTCATGTAGGGAACATGTAGGTTTCAGAGGAGTACGACCTGCCGACAAAACCCTGCCCCTAGTGAGTCCATGTAGGTTTCAGAGGAGTACGATCTGCCAACAGAACCCTGCCCCTAGTGAGCGCATGTTTGTTTCAGAGGAGTACGACCTGCCGACGGGACTGTTCCTGCTGGTGGGGTTCAGCAGGACGGAGGAGGCGCTCCTAAGGAACGTGACGGGCGGCTCCGCCATCGACGCCCTCATCCCGCTCCAGCTCATCTTCAGGACCATCTCTGCTGATATGGGAGTTAGTACATTTCCAGCCTTCGTTCTAACACTTTTGAAGCTCTACAATTACTCCATCGATGATAACATGTAGTGACGACCTGTCATGCCCCAATTTTCATATATATATATATATATATATATATATATATATATATTAACTTTCACCGGTCTTTTATTTCATCGTGTTTTATCTAGATGATCATTAGCCGCTTCACCCGCTAGGAATACCAACTTTTCTTCTGTTCTGTGTGTTCTAGCTTCACTTCAGCATGTTCTCCACTAATCCTGTACTCCGCTGGTCAGTCCTGTAGTTATCATTGCGACAGCTATGGTGCTCCTATAAGCTTTAAAGGCCTTACGAATCCTATAGTGTTGTATAGTGTATTTAAATGCCTGAGTTCTAGTGCTCCCTCGAATAAGAGAACGGCTTTGATACCTAGCAAATACACCGTTTTCGTATTTTTACGTTGTTGCACCGTTATTATAACGTTGCAAACTCGAGTGTCCCTGAAGCGGTGAAATCCTAATTGTAATAGTGCAGGGATACGAACACCTCGAGCGTTGAAGGTTATTTGGCAATGGTAAGAAATTCTTCAATGATAAGAAATTCCTCATTCTTCAAATTCGTGAAATTCTTCAAGAATTGAAGAATGAAATTCTTCATTCTTCATGCCTTTGGGATTCTCCACTTCATCCAACAGAGCAATTTTTTTTATATGTCAAACATGCATAGTTTTATGTTAGTTATTAAAGATGTAACTAAATGTAATTGGTTTCTGTGTCTTTTAATTTTAATTTTTTTACAGTCTTAATTTATAAAGAAGTCTTTTAGCTACTACTGTATTCTAACAAAAATAATTCAATTTTAATTTGTTACAGAATTATAATTTTATAATTATCGTTCAAATAATAGTTTCGACCTAGTTAGATTTTTTTTATTTTTAATTCAGTTTTGATGTAGTCAGTCTTGTATTAACGTAATTAACTTCAACTATTTATTTTTCAGTATAGTTTCCACCAAGGTTCTTTTGTCACTGTACAGGACAAGAATACAAATTTCCTGTTCTTTGTTTACGAGAGTCAGCTGAAGGTGTTCCAGAGCTGTTAAAATAACGACAATTATACCCACCAGACAAACAATGCTCAACTAACGTTTTAATAAAAGTCAGCTCAACGTTTTAATAAACGTGAGATCAACGTTTTAATAAAAGTCAGCTCAACGTTTTAATAAATGTCAGATCAACGTTTTAATAAACGTCAGATCAACGTTTTAATAAACGTTAGATCAACGTTTTAATAAATGCTAGATCAACGTTTTAATAAACGTCAGATCAACGTTTTAATGAAAGTCAACTCAACATTTTAATAAAAGTCAGATCAACGTTTTAATAAACGTCAGATCAACGTTTTAATGAACGTCCGATCAAAGTTTTAATAAACGTTAGATCAATGTTTTAATAAACGTTAGATCAACGTTTCAATAAACGTTAGATCAACATTTTAATAAACATTGGATCAACGTTTTAATAAACGTTAGATCAACGTTTTAATAAACGTTAGATCAACGTTTAAATAAACATTAGATCAACGTTTTAATAAACATTAGATCAACGTTTTAATAAACGTTAGATCAACGTTTTATTAAACGTTAGATCAACGTTTTAATAAGAGTCAACTCAACGTTTTAATAAAAGTCAACTCAACGTTTTAATAAACGTTAGATCAACGTTTTAATAAACGTTAGATCAACGTTTTAATAAACGTTAGATCAATGTTTTAATAAACATTAGATCAACGTTTTATTAAACGTTAGATCAACGTTTTAATAAAAGTCAACTCAACGTTTTAATAAAAGTCAGCTCAATGTTTTAATAAATGTCAGATCAACGTTTTAATAAACGTTAGATCAACATTTTAATAAACGTCAGATCAACGTCGTTTGCTCAGCTGTGTCCGGGAGGTTATACTGTTTAGAATTGTCCACGTATCGACTGCTGGGATTCTCATTGAGGCTCTGTCCTAACTGGTCGTCGATCTCAGTTAACGGAACAAACCTAAACCCAAGTGTACTTGCAGGAGGAGTGCCGGCTAGAGGTGTTCCAGCAGACTGTGGGTAACCTGGTGTTGCAGGTGAGGCACTACCAGGTGTCTTCCGGCGTCACCAACACCACCTACTCCCGCTACATGATGCAAGAGGAGCGGGTACGTCCCTGAGAGAGAGAGAGTCTTAAGAACGGATGTCTGAGAAACATAAATGTTTGTGTGAGAAAATATTGAAAGCCGTATGATGGCATCGAACCTGCATCCCTATCATGGCCTAGTCGGTATTGAGTACACCTGAGTCTAGCGACGCAGGTTCGATCCCATCAAATTGCTTCAATATTTTGGAATGATTTTGACCCGAAATTGCCCCAGAATCGTTGGTGTAGAATGGTGAGGGTATAACAATTTCTGTAACTTCATGGTATGATTAGTTCTTCTAATTGTCTTCTCATCATCCAAATTTTGTGATATAAATTGTGCCGATATCTCTCTCTCTCTCTCTCTCTCTCTCTCTCTCTCTCTCTCTCTCTCTCTCTCTCTCTCTCTCTCTCTCTCTCTCTCTCTCTCTCTCTCTCTCTCTCTCTCCGCACTTATTTTAACTTTCACTTTGTTTTTTCCAAAATATATATATATATATAAACAAATGTGACTCACATTGTGCTAAACGTGTATGTTGTATTTTGGCTGTTGTATACCTGTTCTGTTCAGCCATTATTGTAATGATTAAGTTATTACGGATAAGGTTATTGATTATGTCTAGTCTTTCACTCACAACCCTTGTATAGCCATTGATTCTTCTTTACTACCAAACAGTATCATTCCAGAACCATTGGCCTCTGGTTCACCGCCAACTACTACCATTCCAGAACCATTGGCCTCTGGTTCACCGCCAACCACTACCATTCCAGAACCATTGACCTCTGGTTCACCGCCAACCACTATCATTCCAGAACCGGTGCGAGAAGCCAGTCACCAAGGTAGCAGAAATGATCAACAAGAGAGCTCCCAGAATCCTTCACGACGTGCGTCTCTCTCTCTTCGTGTTGGCGGAAGTCATCGACAACGTTCCCAGCCCTCAGCGGATCAGCGGTGGGCTGCCGGGGCCCCGCAGCGTGGGCGTGAGGGCGTGCTGGTGGGCGTGGGTCACGGGCGCCGCGTTGGCGTTGGCGGGAAAACTACACACAGGAGACTGGGGGGTCGCCATCTTGTGATAGCTCCATTTTCATTTGATAGCCTAAGCTCCTTCCTGAACTCTTGAGCGAGAAAAAAATACGAAAAAATATATAAAAAAGGATTGTTGTAAATATTAATTAACTGTAGAGTGTTAATTGGATGAAGATTTACTTTTGATGCGTGTGTAAATAAGCAAAGTAGGACTAAATTATTATAGCGCAATAACTGATACTGGCTTAGCCAGCTATCTGTGTAAGTGATTATATTTTGAGTTTGTCGTGGTAGTCATGAGATAGCTGCACCTAGACTGAACTGCGTATACGCTGTTGGTACCTCCGCACCTGGACAATTGGTTGCTGCTGCTGCTGCTGCTGCGGCGCTCTGTGGGCAGCTGTCACCCTTCCACTATAGCACCTGGACCACTGGCTGCTGCTGCTGCTGCTCCTAAGCTTTGGGAGCCGCTGTCAGCTCCCCCCTTCCCCACCGCCCCCACACTAGCACATTAAGTGACGGCACTCCATTCCCCCCTCCCCATAAAAAAAATGTTTTTTTATATATGCGCGTAGATCGAAGATGTCTCCGCGGTGTTGCTGCCAATCTGCTTTCCTCAGTCAGTCTGCTGCTAGTCATTAACAGGAGCGTCAGCTGAGTCCTAAGTTCTACAGTTTGTTTCAAAAATAGTCTCGAGCCCAGGTCCCAAAGATTACCGTTATTGTCCTGACAAATACAATGCTAAAAAGCCAGACGAGGCTGCATTTAAACCCCAAGACACTACAATTAAGTCCTAATAGTGGTCAATAGTTAAAATCCTGGTAGAGGCTTCACCGAAAGTCCTAGAAATGGGCTAGGATTACAGGTAGTCCTGGCAAGGGCTAGTGGTAGTCTTAGCAAGGGATACAGGTAGTGCTGGCAGGGGCTGCAAGTAGCCTTAGCAAGGGCTACAGGAACTCTTAGAAGGGAGTGCAGGTAGTCCTGACATGGGCTACAGGCAGTCCTAGCAAGAGCTACAGGTAATTCTAGCAAGGGCGACATCACGTGATCTCGGCAGCATCTAAAGACCAGACACACTACCGGCAGTGATGCTTACTTCGTCCTTTTCTTTATATAAGTTTTCATTTTCCTTTGCATTTTGTGTGTACAGCAGAACATTTGTTAAGCAGCAGAAGCTGTAAGGGTCTTCCCTCCCACTGACACGGTGGGAGGGGGCACCGTGGGGGTGGGAGGGGACACTTTAGGGTGGGAGGGGGACACACTGAGTGTGGTAAGCTACAGATTTTGGCAACTCGTCCTCAGGCAAAGTCCAATCCATCCAGCGGTCGACCCCAAAGATGCATTCATCAATTTTAACATAATATTCATTCAAAATAGGAATTTTCTCAAATATAAATTAATATTGGTAGGTATTAGAATACTGTGCAGATTTAAGCATTGGTTAGGTTAGGTGTTTAGGTTCTGTTGGCGATTATTTGTATTTGTAGTACGTGGGTGAAGCATTTACAGCGTTGTGGTTCGAACAAAATTCGTCAGTGAAGCACTTGTTCCGGAAGTGTTCGAACGTCAACAGTTGTGAGTCGTGTGTAAACGGTTTTTCATTCATAAACAGCGGGGGGGGGGGGGGTTGGCGGGTGCATGGAATGGACTTTGGCCTTTGTTTATGATGACGGGCTGCGAGATTAGTTCCACACACACCTGAACCACTGAAGCGGGGCTAGTGGTTCACACACACACCTGAACCACCGGAGCGGGGCTAGTGGTTCACACACACACCTGAACCACCGGAGCGGGGCTAGTGGTTCACACACACACCTGAACCACCGGAGCGGGGCTAGTGGTTCACACACACACCTGAACCATCCCATCTTCAGCAGTAACCTATGTAATACTGTGTCAGAGTTGTACTTAAAAGTGTGATGTCAATACACAGAACCAACGGAACACTGTAAAGAAACACTAAACAATAAATAACTCGACTATATATATATATATATATATATATATATATATATATATATATATATATATATATATATATATATATAATATATATATATACACGAGCCGTAACCATTGATGTTGGTTGTCTTACATATGAAAAAACTGAAAAAGAGTGCTTTTATGTGAATACTCCACAAACAAATAGCCTTCCTAACCTGGGGAGTTACAATGTTTGAATGTTGTTTATAGAAACAATATTTTGTTTACAACTATTATGTTTCGCTGTCTTTACGTCTTTTGTTTTTGTTTTTTTACACTTGAGGGGCTATGTTACGTCCCTATAGGGCTAGTGCTTAACTGACTGGACCCGAGGAAGGAAAGGTGCTATTAAATTAAGATTTATAAATATGCTCCTTGCAGTCAAAAAAAACTGGACACGACAAACCGTAACTAAAAACACACAGAAATCACGATAGCGTGATGTATCAAATGAACAAAGTCGATTAAGGCAGCGTCTGGGATGCTCTCGGACGTAGGTTCGAATCCTCGTCACGGCCCTTGTGGATTTGTTCGTAACTAAAAAGTGTGTTGTGTCATATAGTGAAGTGCTGTCCCCCCACGACCACTCAGCCAGTCACACCTGCTCTTGAAGAGAACAGCAGCGGGGAGGGAAACTTTTAAAATACGACTAAATCTTTATAAGGAATCCGCATGCAGTGCTTGCTTGAGGTTTTGAGAAGAACGTCGTAACAGAAGCTCCTGGTTAGGAAAGGAAAGGTTAGTCGCTCACCGTTTGGTTGTGATAATGTGATGTAATCACTTCTGGTCATTCCAGCCACTTGGTCAGGCGTGTATAGCCACGGCCTCACTTCTTGCAGGTCGATCCCTATTGGTCCACCTGGTTGGGCACCGTTCCTTTATTCCGGTCTCCTATCCCAGTTCCTATCCTGTCCACGGTATCCCTTCCCATGTGTTATAGAGTCATACTGGCATAGCGCTTTCTCATCATAATTTCCTTTCCATTTCCTACCCCATCCTCCCCTCCCCACCCAAAAAAAATACTTATACATACACATTATCTAAAATAACCTGATATATTTATTCCTAACTAAACCTAACCTTGTAGAAATAAGTGGTCGACAATGCATATTCCAGTTAAGCGTCCAAATCCAGCCAACCAGCTGTTAAATGACCTCTCCTCGTCCGGCTGTAAGTGGGCGAACAAGGCAATTGAGTGGACGCTAAGACAGTCGGGCCAATTTTACTCTTACTGGTCATGTTACTTAATGACGCCGGAATACGACATGCTACCAGCATGTTCTTGGAGGTAATAAATTGCAATAAATTCCATCGGGTCTGGAGGAGCAGGGGCGTGTCGTTCGTAAATTCGTGTTTATGTTGGAAGATGTTATTGGTGGGGTCTTGAGAGGTATTATTGGTTGAATTTTGGAAGATTTTATTGGTAGAATTTCGGTAGGTGCTATTGTTTAGGTTTTGACGAAGGGGGTTGCTTTTGGGGTCTTCTTTGTCGCTTTAGTCTTTGAAGCGCTCTTCTAAATGACTCAAAAGTTTACCTGTAATCGCCTGGTGTTGCCTAGAATCACCTAAGATCACACAGAGCTAACTGTCGTCATCTTAAATCATCTATTGTCTTCTAAGGTGATGAATTATAACTCAGCATCATCAAACAATCTGATTAGCTTCCAGTTATTTTGGGGTCAGCTGCTCATATAAATACATTCATTTTTGTTTTCCCAATTTAGGTTTATAATGGAATAATTACAGCATGAAGTTGGAATGCTTGCTTGATAATAAACAAGGGAAGGGAGTTGCACAGAAGATATCGTGTTGAATGGTTGATTTCTCGAGATAAATTCTTATTGCAAAGAAACTCATATATATGCTAAACACACTCAATATATTGTACAAAATTCATATGCTTAATCATCTTTACGATAATGGAAACATAAACTATATTTCCTTACAAATAAGAGATAAATGTTTGATTTTTCTTTACAATGCTAAATCTTTTTCGTCCTAGTAACCGAAAAAGATTATAATAATGATCGTAAACATAATAAAGAAAAGTACATATAATTTAGAAAAAGGGGACAAGGATTTTATAAGTGAAAAAGGGAGAGGGGGTTAGTAGTAATTTTGTAATGCTATGTTGGGTATTGGTGCTTACATGAGTGGTCCCTCTACGTTTATATGAGTGGTCCCTCAGTGTTTATATTTGTTTACTTGCGCTTATCCCTGACATGCTTGTCACCTGCCATTAGGGGCTGCACATGAGTGTATTGAGTTCATGCTCTGAATATTTGTATTTTTGTATATTTTTGTATATGTGAGCAAATAAATATAGTGCATATGTATAGAGAGAGATTAACAAACTATGTATTTCACACAATAAAGAGTTTAATCTATTTATTTGTGTTTTTATGACATGAAAATTTAGTTTAGTTCGTTTATTATGCACCCCATATCCATCCTGTGGATGGTAGTGAAAAAAGGTTACAGAGGCGCATAATGGGTTCAGGAACTGAAACTGAACAGGAACTGAACCCCAAAATTAATTTAGCTACACAAGTTAGTCTTCTTAAGGCAGTAATACAGTTTACTGAATAATTAAAAGAGAAAATTAATTACATGTTTCATGGCTGGGAAGAGAAGGGAGTAACCTGGCTTGCTTTGAGAATATTCCTCGTTAATCTTCAAGTGTCATTATATTAGGAAGGTAAGGTACAGTAATTAGCAGTCTCCGGGGTGTAGTGGTAAGACACTCGCCTGGCATTTCGCGAGCGCTTTGTCCTGGGTTCGTATCCTAGCCGGAGAGGATTTACTAGGCGCAAATCCTTAACTGTAGCCTCTGTTTAACTCAACAGTGAAATGGGTACTTGGTTGTAACAACGATTCTTCGTGGGGGTCGTATTCGAGGGACCTGCCCGAAACGCTACGCGTACTAGTGGCTGTACAAGAATGTAACAACTCTTGTATATATCTCAAAAAAAAAAAACGTGGCTAAAGTATGATGACCAGGCCACTCACTAGAAGGTGAAGGGACGACGACGTTTCGGTCCGTCCTGGACCATTCTCAAGTCGATTGTGATAGTCGATTGTGACTATATAACACTTTAAAGGATAGGAGGACAATGAGCTGAGATAAGAGGACGGGGTGAAAGAACGGTGAGGGTCTAATCAAATGTGTTTCCTACACTCTGGTTAGGAAGTGTATTAGCAACAAGATGTAGTTTAAATGTGTTATTGCTCCTTTTGGCCAACCTGATGGAACCTTATTGAAAGACTTCATGCGGGGGTTTCTTTGTAATTTGCATAACATCTTGACTCACAATCGGGGATCCTCTGGGTTCGGTTCCCGGGCGGGATAGGAATGATGGAGCACGCTTGCTTCCTTTTATCCACCTAGCAGTAAATAGACAGTTAGTCCTTAACAGTTAGACAACTGGTATGGGTTACATCCCGAGAAGGTCAGTAGCTCGACCTAGGAATGACCTTGATACAGGCCTAAGTACAGGCTTCCTTCTCCTGGCAACTGGAATAAAATACTTTGTAACTTACAGTTCACTGTAAATTCAAAATGAAGACCTCAATTTCCTTAATGTTAACTTTAAGATTTGCCTGAAACGCAATGCGCGTTAGTGACTTTGCGAGAATCTACCACCTATTCACTAAAAGTATTTATAAACACAATTTACCTTCTTGTACATACATAAAAAAAAGTTTATAAATAAAGTAATAAATAAATAAGTTAACGACACTTTTAACGTTGGCAGTACTCTCAGTTACGAACATAGAAAACGGTATTATACGCACTTATTGAAGGGGAAGCAAAACTAAATACACATGGTTTTCTTGAGAGCCAAAATCATAATTATATAATAATAGGTATATAATAATAATTATATAATAACAATTATATAATTATACAATATAATAATAATGGTGAACCACTACATAATTATACATTATAATAATAATTGATTATACAATATAATAATAATAATGGTTGAAATTGAAATTGAAATAAGTTTATTGAGGTAAAATGCACACAAAGGGATGATGTAGCTCAAGCTATTCTCACCCCGTTCAGTACATCGTGTTAATACATACATAGATACACATCACAAGCAATAAACGTATTACCGAACATTCTGAGAGATAAACATATACATTTCCTCCTTTACACAGGTAGTATGGTATCAGACGTACACACAAATACTTTTATGACCTAGGTATACTGTATAGACAATTTGCAAGAGACATATGCTCTGTATACTGTATAGACACATGCTATGAGATCAGCGACAATGGCGAGATACTGACAATATACTTCCTTCATCCCCTTATAATCTGTAATCCCCCGTCGCTAAAGGATATGGAGGAGGTTGCTCTGGAGGACCATAATCACCTCCAAGTGAAAATCAATGAGAAATCCTCTACTATGTTCGTTGACAGCAGGGCGACAAGGAATTTTATAGAACACCGAGAAGCAAAATAACTAGGATTAGATAAGATGGTATCCGAGAGCTACTCCACTAAAATAGGTCTTTTTAGCGAATTAAAAGACGTCATTTTGAGTACAGTAAACAATGTTAAGATACAGTTACAAAACGGTAATGAATTGACCGCAGGAGTAGACATTTTTCCTCCGGAAACGGACAATTACTACGACCACGACCCACTCCCAAATTTCAATTTTAGTTTTCCATTAATGACCCAGTGCCACGTAGTACAATAGTTTCACCTTAATAAGTCATCGCTCTACTTTAAGAAGCTAAGACCCTATAAATATAAAGGATTTGGGTTGGCCTCTTCGAAACAGTCTTACATAACAATAAAGTTGCCAGATAAGGAACAAAATACAGTAACCGATAAGATACTGGTTGATACAGGTTCGATACTGGTTGATACAGGTTCAGATAAGACCAGGATTTCAAGCTTGTTTCTGGAAAGTATTGGTTTGGAAAACACCCCACCCAAAACGGTTCGGATTCACATGGGGGGCGACACCTACATTGAAGACCAGCTACGGGTACTCCTTGAGGAAGATTACCCCCTCATAATTGGTACTGATCTCATGGAAAAGTATCGTTGCACACTGGATGCCTCATCGTTTTATTTACATTTTTAGGTTGATAATAAAACTTATTTGACTATACTTTATTGATAAAGTATAGCAGCCTAACCCTCGTTATATAAAGTAATTCATTTAATATACCTACGTGCTTTAATATACTTATTAATCTCTCTCATCTCATTTTTTTTCTTGCAATGTATCTGTTATCATTTTATTAATTCTGCTAGAATTTACCTACTTAAAATTATCTGTTAGATTAAGGACCTGCCTAAAACGCTGCGCGTACTAGTGGCTTTACAAGATTGTAAATACTATGCTATGTATTCTCACAAACCCAATGTACCTTCTTGTATATAAATAAATAAATAAATATATATATACACGGGAGACATCTCCCGTCACGCAGGGTGCAGTCGCACTTCCACAGATCTCCAGTATCAGTTAATGATACTGGTAATAGCTCAAAAGGGCCACCACTTACGGGCTATTCATGCCCGTGCCACCTTTAGGGTGGCTTAATCTTCATCAATCGGGTCATATAAACATAGGCTGCCGTTAGATAACATACACATGATTTTGCACCTCTTATCATAAAAGGTCTGTGCATGCTCAAATTGAATAAAACAATTATTACAAATGTTAAAATTGCGTGTTAAATCCATTATTAATTCATAATGACGTCATTGATCACTGGGCACGTGATAGACGTGTCTTGTGCAATAAATAATGATAACTGTTATCATTATTCAATATGTGGGTTAAAAAAGAGCAAGATAAATAATCATTGAAAACACATGATTTCTCTAAATGTGTGTGATGAGTCACAAAAGAGTACACAGAGCGTGAGAGTAATGGAAGAGGGATAATAGGAAATATCGTAATAGATTGTGGAATTGTGTGTGCATCGTCTGTTTACATGGGGTTGTATAAGTGACGGTAACTTGTCCATTCCCCTCACGATCCTCCTTAATATAGAGTTTGGCTCCTTTTAACTTGGTAGTATAAAGAGCTTTGTATATTAAACTGACCACGAACGAATATACCCAACATGTAATCAACAATACTACTAATGAATTTGTAATGTATTTTAATATTTAATAAAATAGTAAGGAGACCCAGGTATTATATTATAAAGATTTTAAAACCATAAATTGTTGGAGGATATGTGTGATGCTTGTTTACGTTACTGGTCGGAATTTCTGGTGAAGGTTCCAGTACTTATACCGAGTGTCAAGTGATTAAGGAAAGGGAAGGTGATAGGGAAAATTGTTATTTTATAAACACTAGCAAAATCTAGCTGATGGGGGAATGGCTCATACTGGACGTGTTGTAGGATACGTTCCTCAGCTCGGTTATGATGGACAGGGACAGGTACGTGTGACCCAGGGAAGCTGGAGAAATGTTTGTTTTTATTTTGTAGTGGACACAGTCGTCATTACATGACTTAGTTAGGTTACTTGAGTATAGTAGTAATTGAGTTGTGTTTGGCAAGATGACTCGTCCATAGTGCAGTATGGTTCCGTGGTATAACGTTCTAGAGTCAGGTTTTTAATGGTTGGGAAGTTAGTAGGCGATATTAGTATTGGAACTGCACAGAGGAGAGTCAATGGTGTTGACACTACTGATGACAGTCTTGTCTTATTTAGTGACTGGTTGCTCCCTATGATGAGTCCTGGGGCTCTTGACCTCGGTGATTCAAACACTGAAATCAAAATTTAAGGGAAGGTTGCTTGCTTAATCTCATTATTAGTTGAAGCAAATTGTATACATCATTGATCTCTTTGAGTTATTAAGGTCCTGTATTTAGGAATACATATAATTGTAGTTTATATTTTCTCTTTTATACATTTCAAGTTCTTTTGTGATTGGATTAAACTTTCTTCCTCTCGGTAATGTAACTCAGACTTTTCTTATACTATATATAGGTATCAGAAATTTGTTATTGTTATTTAAGCAGTGGTGGAGTTGTTAAGGACATATTTTTGTTGTTTTTATAAATATTCAGCTAATGTTAATGTCAAAATGTTTCTAAACTCAATCAGTTTCATTTCAAATCACAAAGAGTGATGAAAACATTAAAAAACCTTAAAATATGGCATAATTAAAAAAAAATCGCACAACCCTCAGAGCGCCTAAAGGTGCTTTGCACAGTGCAGTGGTTAATCTCCATATAGTGCATGATTAAGTAGTAGTTAATTGATTCTTTGGCTCTGGTTGTTGAAAACGACGTAGGCACAACATTACCAAAGTGGTTTATGTGCCTATAAACATTTAATGAACAATAACTATAATTATAATTAATGCCCAAATAGAGTGATGCTGAAATAAATTTATGGATTATACTGTACACACACTAGTCCTAATTTTGCATAATTTTTGTTATTGCAAAATGTGACCCAAGAAAATCAGTTTGCTTATATTGTACCTGTTAACTTAACAATTGCTATTAATTATAGAAAATGTTAAGTTTATTAAGTGACATTTCTTTCAAGCGTATCTTTGGCTCAGCTTGTGCATTTAATTTCGGTATTCAATTTGCAGAAAGATTTCTTTTGTATCTGATATTTAATGCAATATAATGAGACAAAAATGTAAGCGAAAGTGAGTTTCATCTAGTAAAACATAAAAGCCTAAATCATAATTTATGAAATTTGAATGAATTCTGTACTATTTAGTGCAACTTTATTTGCCATTGCTGTGATTGGATGGTGCATATAGGTCGAGTAAACCTCTATTCCACTTTTAATTTTCTGTACACAATATTCCTTATGCATACTTAATTTTGTTCATTTATTATGCAACACATACCCATCCTGTGGATAGTAGTGGAAAAGGCACATAATGGGCTCAGGATCTAAATTACAAAATTAATTTGGATAAGCAAATGGTCTTTATTAGCTAGTTATATAGTTTAATGTATTTATCAATATTGAGTTCAAGAACTGGACCACAATGGTTTTTAAACCTTAAAGCAGTTACATTGGTGGTGCCTCACAATAAAGGTAACAATAAATCCAAACGGAATTATGTTTAAAATCTTTTGCTAGGTTTAGGTTTTTTAATAAGAGTACTGTATACTTTTTAATTTGTGGTAAATGCTAAGGTACACTTGTCTTATATTCATTTCTACTCAAGAAGAATTGTTGAATGATTTACGATATACAGTATAAGGATAGGTTAGATTAGGTGAGGTTGATTTAATTAGAAAGCAGTGGAAATGATGCATAAGCCAAAGTAGTTCCTGGCAGACTATTGTATGAAATTGTACACAGAACAAAACAAATGTAAATAACTGAAACATTTTTACCATGTGGCGGATGGTATAGTGTTGTGCATAGGAAATCCATATCTCTCAAAAATAGGAGCCTAAGGTGCTATTGTGTGAATTTGCATCATGAAGGTATAACTAGACCTAATATTGCTTCCCCTAAACTTAAATTTAACCAAATACGAAATGGTACTGTATAGTTATTTATGGAATTCTCTCCCAATTTACACATAATGGCCTTAATTAATTTTTTGTAATCTTCACTTGGTAAACAAAACCAAAGTTTTTAACCTAAGGCTGTATTTGAGAAAATTTAAATGTGTGGCTTAAATTATGGAAATGTGATAATAAAGAGTAAATAAATTAAAGGTTAAGGCTGTTACCAGATTTGTAGTGATAAGATTAAGCTGCACTTCTCAGTTTGTTAGCCATTACGACTTCACTTAACCCAACATGCTTTTATTACCAATAAAAAATAATGTTTCATATCCACTCATGCAAACTATTCAAAGTTCATATTCTATATATCACACTCCACTGATTTTTGTTTTTTTTAATTCTGGGATATAAAATTGACAAGTTCTGTGTTTAATGGAAAACAGTTCTACATGTTTTACTGGAAACTTGTACAATTAAATTGCTATCTATAACTAGATTTTGACTTGGAACTTTATTCTAAAATCATGACTAGTTTTCACATAAGTTCCATTAATAAAGTGACACCGTAAGCTTAAACTTTATGGAATTTTTGTTCCAGTAGTCTTGTACTTCCTATCATTCCATCATCTAAATGGTAAAAGTTGTCTTTTAAGGGTTTTAAATCTTTTAGCTTGATTTTTGATAACTTTCAAAATTAAATGAGAATTTTTTCGATGGTTGTAGATAAAACATAGGAGTTAATCGTTTAGTTTAAGCATCCTAAATTTTAATTGATAAGTGTAAGCAATACAATACAACCATGTCTCCTGTGATGTCATCATATATGAGAGATTATAATGTTTTCTAATTTACTCTAATTGCCCCCAGTAATTTTGTATTATTAATAAGCTACTCTACTGATTACATTTTTATGCTTTATGTGTTTAATCTTATTTTACAGATTGAGCCAACAAAATTACTGCGTTTACGTGTTATAGGTGGTAGCGGTTTAGCAAAAAAAGATATATTTGGTGCAAGGTCAGTACAAAAGACGTTTTTTTTTTATCTATTAATCTTGCATGACATTCATGTGTAATATATCTACATACAGTCAAGCCTGACCTAACTGCTAACAAATGCAGATAGTTTGTAATTTTTGACTTCAACACAATCCCGTCATTTACATTTTTGTCTAAATGCTACAGGATTGGAAAGAGCTGTGATTGATCACTGTATAAAAGCATAGGAAGACATAGCGAGTGTAACAATTAGGGTGAAGTCCGCTATCTCCGAATGGTCTCTGGCCTCGAGACATAGGCACTGAAAAAAAAACAAGAAAAAAACCCACATGCATAGTATATAGAGTGAATCTGTGAAAATGCCGTAAACTCTAAAAATGTGTTCCAAAAATATACTGTACTAGTAGTATTAAAATATGAAATGTTTTTAATACAAACCTGTTAAAAAAATAAAATACATTACTGTATAAGGAAGTTTCCATGATTCAGTGCATGGTTCATACAAAAATCCCAGTTATATTTTTGATCCTCTAATTTAAATGATTATATTTTATTCAAATTGTACTTTGTTACCTTTAGTCAGATGTTCAGTCCTTAAACTGTAGAATAACATAGAAGTAGGTACCAAGAAAGATTCATTATTGGTAATAAAAAGTATCTGGAGATCAGTTAGGATATCAGTCTGTTTTGCTGGTCACCTGACACCAAAACCAAGTACAGTACTGTACTGTATCATAAAATATATTGAAAATACCACCAACACATGTCAAACACATCGTGCTACCTTGCATACGGTATTAATATTAGACCTTAATGGCAAGTAGTTCCCAAGAAGTGTCACAAAACATAGCCTAGATGTTCAGATTCCAGTGTCCAGATATAGTGGCAGGGCAGAAGGTTTTTTCACCAATCAATAGAAAACATCACTAAAGAATACTGACATATACTGCTGCCATGTCCAGAAATATTCGATCTTAATGCTTAGTGGTTTCAGAGAAATGAGCCACCGAACATTCGATACCCCTCCCCCCCCCCCAAGCTGATAATTCTTGTGCATACATGAGGCCAATCATCTAGTAACCAGGTATATTACTTGAGAATTGTTGCCTAATAGTCTCAGATGCTTGTGTTTGCAACAAAACCTCAGCGGCTGCAGTTCTGTTAATATTTTGTGGGTTTTTATATGTACAGCATCCACTTCAGTGTTATTTTGTAGAACAGCTCTTTTTAATTTATACCTGCTTGTTGCAGTTACTTTATTTAACATAATTTTGTAGTCCACTGTGAATATTAACTTTCCTAAGTGTGCAAAGTCTGGTGAATTATTTACCCTATATAGAGTGGCATTATAATAATAATAATAATAATAATAATAATAATAATCATTTATTTAAGCAAGAGTACCTAATGTGAGTAGTAGAGGATTAATAGGGAAGGCAAGTACAATGCCTAAGACTGCTCGAAACACTAGTGGCTCGAGCATTAGTTTACTAAGTGTAGTGAGCAAAATTTATGACAGGATAGTGATTGAGGAAAGGGTACAGGAAATTACAGAAAAAATGGTCAGTGATAAACAAGATGGTTTTCGGGAAAGGAGAGGGTGTGTAGCTTGGAAATTTGCATCAAGACATTTTATAAAGAAGGCATGTGTGAAAGATTGTAATGTATAGGCAGCAAGGTTAAGGTAATTATTAGGAGAAAGTGCTAAGCTAGGCCATAATAGGTAATTATCAGGAGAAAGTGCTAAACCAGTCCATAAATGCAACAAAGCATTTATGGACTGGTAAGACCTACGTATTCTTACCCGTTACATGCTCCTGACAAAAGAGATTTACACTATTCCTTTGGGTACAGCAGCATAAATTTGTTCAGAAAAGGATTTTTCACAAGCTGAAAAGCATAATTTTAAAAGTATTGTAATGAACTGACAGACATTTTTGGCACCCTTGACAACACATTTAAAGATAAAAGTACCATTTTCATACCTTGTTTAGCATTCATCTTTTAGATGGTAGGGCAATAAATAAAGAAAACAATATAAAATTATCTGGTGTGTATGTAATGAGCACTTGCCATAGCTTTTTTTTAATTAATATTTGTCTATTTAATCATTATCTTAACTCTTTCAGTGATCCCTATGTCAAAATTGAGTTAGTGAATGTGGCAACAAGTGGAACTGATGACGATGTTGTTGACTGTGTGTCTACCAAAACAAAGAAGAAGGTAAAACTACCGACATTTTCATTTAGAATTAAACCATATTCGTTTAGGTTCACTCTAATACAAGATTTATTCTTTAAGCTATACTGCATATACAGTACTTCAAATTTCAGATCTTTATGAACAGAATTATTAAAGTCTGGTAACCCTCCCAGGATGGAATTTTCAGATATATTACTATTTATATTGAAAAAACAAGAAAATTGTTAGAATTGCAAAAAATATACACAAAAATTCATTTTATAATCCAAATATTACATAATCTGGCATTGGATGACTAATCAAGTGTGCATGTATTTGAGACAAAAGGAGATTGTGTGCATTTTGTGTAAATGTAAAAAAAAATGGGAGGAGTGAAAAAAATTGAAGTTGTGGGTGGGTTTGAGGAGGTTTGTTGTGTGGTCAGGAATGGGTGAAAGGTATAATAATAAAAAGAAGTAAAGTATGGATAATTTTGTTCTTGTCAAAGAGAATGAGGGTGCACCTGTATTTGAAAGGGCATTCCAAAAAATATATTGGATTGAATGAAAGATAGGTAGAGAATGAGATTTATGTGTAAGCACCAAACAATAATTAACAATCATGTGGCAGAAAATAAATAACCTAATCCACACACACAAAAAAAGAGAGGTATGTGATGACGTGACAATGGTCCAGGATGGACCAAAACGTCCTCGTTTCTTCATCTTCTGGTGTGTGATTTAGTCATTAAAGGTATGTGAGGACTTTTTGGCCAGTCCTGGACCCTTATCAAGTCACATTTGGTTATGTATGTATGAGTTTATATGCTCCAGTGTCTAAGGGGAATGTTAAAGGAAAGAATGAGTTAGAGGTGTTCGGGAATTGACTGAAAGGTTGCATGGAGAAGCTACAAGATGGTAGGAAAATTATTGTTGTGGGGGTTATAATGACTGCTAAAGTAATGGAATGAATATTGCCCAATTCCTCTCTTTTCTGACTGCAACTGAAAGAACTATCACAACCCCTGTTTACTCACTGGATGAGCACTATTCATTCCTGCATTATGGTCAGACCATTCTACAGGAAGTTATCCAGATAAAAAAAGGAATTTGCCTGAGCAATGGGCTATTCTGTGGCAAAAAAAAACTTAAGATCTTTATACATGATTCAACCCCAAGGGAATATTTTGTATTACATAATAGTGAATATGGAGAAATGAGGTATAGTTTTTCATACCTTGCCTACTAGCCTTATTGTGCCCGTTGCATTATAATTGAACTTTCCTGATGTACGAATTCTTTGTTGAATCTGGCCTTAACATTTGTGGATGAAGGTGGTTTCCATGACTACTTTGAGTGCATTCCACTTATTGACCTCCCATACAGGCTGTGAGTATTTCCTTACATTTCTTTGACTCATTTGCATATCTAATAGCCACATATGCCCTCTTATTATGTCTTCAGTTTGAAGAGCCTGTCTTTGTCCACCTTGTATATTCCCCTCAGTATCTTGTATGTTGTGATTGCACAGTGATTAATCCTGTTCGACTGTGGATTTGGGTCGTGCCTTATGAATCAACCCAGAGAAGGGATCTCGTCAGTGACAGGCTTGGCATCAAATATTTACTGAAGAGTTTAGTTATGACTCACCAATAAGAACCAATGATAATTCAAAGGGGAAGACCATTACATAAAGTCTTGTGATAGCAGTAATCATTAGTTTATTTACACAATCTAAATACATAAAAAAAAAGAGGAATCATAATACTTAAGTATGGTACAAGACTTTGGTGTGTGGTGGTGTGTACAAATTTCTTGAGATATTACCGAGTGTGGAATGCTTGCTGTTGTAGTGATGGTAATTTACTGTAATGCTACCAAATGTGAAATGTAGTGAAAATGGTTAGATATGAAGCAATATCCTAAACTAATTATCTGCATTTCTATTTTTCTGTAAATAATTTAGAGACTAGCACCATTTTCTTGCAGGTAAGTTCCCACCCAGTCGAAGTGGAGAACTTAACCTGTGATAGTAAAGATGATCTTAATGTTCATATTACATGTGTACCTTAAAGACAGGACCTTAAAGATGTACCTTAAAGATGTTTATAATACATGTGTTCATTATTATTATTGTTCCCTTTTTTTATTTTTCCAGACCTTAAATCCACGATGGGATGAAGAATTTGTATTCAGAGTAAGTGTGGCAGTATGTGCGGTTCTGTTATAATACAGTAGGTTAGTTTTATAGCTTGTATGTTTTATGAACACTAAGATAAAATAGTTTGTGTTTGATTTTTCTTTTTGTCTTCATCACACATTTAGCTAGGTAGTAAATAAACCAGGTAAATGGAATTACCTAAGGAAGTACAGTATAGCTGTGGTTGAAGTCAATTGAGAGGTACGACGTTTTCCGGCAGATAGGACATGCATTTTTGGTCCACCTCCAATTGAATATATATTGTATTTACATGCCTAAAGCCACTTGAAAATCACTTTCAATAAATGTATGATGACATTCTAAAAAATCCTCAACATATTATTTAAAAATCAAGTGTGTCTTGTATGCTGGAAAATACAGTAATTTGTTCAATTGTTCATAATGAAAGGAAGGGGGTTTCCTAGAAGAAACATTTGAATCAAAGGATGTAAAATATGTGAATTTCCTACTGATGTTATTTTTCTAACGACTTCATAATTCCCATTCTAATATTTAAAATGATTAAACTGCAATCTTGTCCCATTTGCTGGCTTTTCTCCTATTTCAAATTCATGGTGTTTTCTTCCCTGCTTACATTCTTGCATGTTGATCAGCTTGATCCAAAACATTTGCCCATAGGAACATATAATTTTATTTCAAGCAATTTGAAACAATTTTACCCATTTATGATTTCAGTGCCAGTGTACTGTTGTCAGAAATATAAATACTAGTACATTTTTTATTCTTGTAGGTCAAACCAGCAGAACACAAGCTTGTATTAGAGGTGTTTGATGAAAATCGTTTGACCCGCGATGATTTCTTGGGTTTGGTCGAGTTGCCTTTAATAAACTTACCACGTGAGTCAGAAGGCAGACAAATTCCTCACCGGCACTACAGACTTCAACCCAGAAGGTATCTTTGTACTTCTCTTATTGCTACTGAACTGGATTTAAATGAAACTGTATTCCCAAAATTTCCCTGAGTTGATTTATAAGATGCTCTGTTTTATGCCTTGAATTTTATATTACTGTATTTCTTGTATTTAATTTTATGTTTCATGTTTTCTCAGCAAGGCTTATTATCGTAATGCCATTGTAGCAATGTAGAAAAATGGTTATTTTGAGACTTAAGCACTTACATATCAAATAACTAACTGGGAGTTTTTATCAATAGTTTTTCAATTGACATATTTGAAAGTCATATATAGATTTTTAAATAATATTGATGTTGCAGCATGTCATTAATTAGCCTATCCAAATCATTTTTCAATGATTGCAGTATTGTAAACTAATTACTATGGTGCAACCTTTCGATGCTAAGTCCTTGATCTTATTAATCTTGAGTAGCATTTAGCAACTGAAAATGGGTTTGAAAATTTTATTTTTTAACATGTGAGGTAATGAGGATGTATTTTTCAGTACACGATCCAGAGTAAAGGGTCATCTACAGTTATATGTAGCTTATATTATCGATGATGGAGCTAGCAGCAGTGGCGCATCTGGCGAACAAACGCCAGAGGAGGCTGGCTGGGAGGTGGTGAGCATCGACAACAGTAGTGGCCATGAAGAATCTCCTGCTCAGGTGAGAACCCAAAATTAATCTTTATTTCAAAAGTAATGCTGTTCAGGTACACTACAATGCTTATTGAATACTTTGATAAGTTAAAATCTGTATAAAAATTAGTAACATGGATGAATGTATTTGATTAAGCAAGTGGTACCCCAACGTTTTCTTTGAGCCCCAATTTCAGGATAAAATTTGCTTGTGACACCAATTTTTTGTTATAAGAAATACATTCAAATACAAAAACACTTCCTGTTAGTGCTTGATATCATAACACAGGGCACAACTACTTTATAATATAATAATGAGACATCCAGAAAGAATTAAATAATGCAGATACATGAAAACTTGTTTCAGTCCTGCAATATACTCATAGACAAGCCTTTTACATATGTAACCTTCAGTATACAAACTCAATGAGAAGTGAGCTTGTTTTTGTCAGGCAATCACATTTATGTTAGATTAAATTTGAGGCAAACTCTCATCTCAACATCAACATAAAGAAGCCCTTTTTCTTTTCCGGTCTTTGATATTTGTTAGAGCTGAAAATCCCTGTTCACAACAATGTCATGAAGAACTTTGTCTTTGAATCTTCCCACCACACTTAACATCTTTTCTTGTTGCGTCAGTGTGGTGTGCCACATCCTTTGGGGATCACTGGCTAAGGTATATAAAACCAACATGTACGTTCATTTCCTTAGTTGATTTCTGTGTTTCAAATATTCTTTGTTTGACTGGCATAGGAATATGGCAACTCCATACCCATCACGGTATGGGGCAAACGACCTTGTATCCCCAACATTAAAAAGGTTGTGAAGATTGAACCATCAATCCGTTTTCCTAAACTCTCCCCATTTAGGACAAAATTGACCTCTTATATAGGATGTATACCTACCTGGGCTCTAGAAAATAAAGGCAGGCGTATTTGTCTATGTGAAATGTGAAGAGTAAATGAAGAACAAAAGAGGATGGCAGTGAATGAAACTTTTCAAGGAGAGAATGCTTGATGTGGTAGGTTTATATGAAACAAAATGTATAGAAAATGTGACTGAAGAGTGGAATGGGGTAAGAGAATTGAGAGAAGGAGGGCTTAGGTATTTTGGTGATTGAAGAGATTGATACCCACTGCCATTCACAGGGCAGTGAATGTCTATTTGTGGTGTACACTAGTTCAAGATAATTGTATGTACAATTTGAAAGTTTGAAAGTGTTAAAGGTGGTTTTGGTTATTGCATTTACTCCATGTGATGGCTATTTAGCTAATTATGTTTGACTGTGTGGATCACTGTGGACATGTGAGAGCCATTTCCAAGAAACATCCCTCACTCCCATATCAGTGATACCACTCTTTCGAAGACTCGATACCCAAAACTTCCATTGCAATACCTACTCCCGATACCCACATCTCCCAATGCCACATCTGCTCCCGATACCCACGTCTCCCGATGACAACACCTGCTCCCGATACCCATGTATCCCGATGACAACACTTGCTCCCGATACTCACATCACCCGATAACAACACCTGCTGCCGATACCCACATCTCCCGATGACAACACTGCTCCCGATACCCACATCTGATGCGACACCAGCTCCCGATACTTACATCTCCCGATGCCACACCTACTCTCACAATGCCCACATCTGGCTCTTACATTCACACACATAATTGACACCCAGAGTAGATAGAGACATAAATAAAAAGATAAAAAGTAAAAGAGTAAATTCCTTTCTCTGCACTTGCTGGCCTCTTGGAACTTATTTGGAAAGGATGCAGAGAAAACGTGATTGAATTAAAAATATGTTTGAACAATGGCAGTAGTTCAAGCAGACACAGCACCACTCTTGCTTCATAGTCACAGACTCTGTGTAGTTGAGGACCCAGTGTAATCTAGATCTTGGATGGTGTCTCTAGACCTCAGGGGTGCATATTGGCACGTCCCTATTCATCTGGGTTCAGGGACTGGTTAAGTTTTGTGGTGGGGCATCAAGCTTACCACTTTCGTTGCCTTCCTTTCGGGCTGAATCTGGCACCGTGTGTTTTCATGTGGCTTACCAAGGTCGTGGTGGCCTGTCTGCCTCTTCTAGGTGTTTGGGTTTTGGCCTATCTTGACGACTGGTTGGTCTGGGCTCCCAACCAGTCCTCGTGTCTGCTCGCCTGGGGTTTGGTTCTTTCCCAGCTTGCCTGGTTCGGGTTTCTGGTGACCTCGAGAAAGTCCCATCTGGTTCCGTCTCAGACTCGGACTTGGCTGGGATTTGTCTAGGATTCCTGGACAGCATCCTTGTCTCTTCCTCAGGCAGTGTTGCTCCTGCTGCAGTCTCGCTGTCTGCTGTTTCTGAGAGGGGGTCCCCGATCACTCAGCGGTTGCTAGAGCAGCTGTATGGAAGTCTGAACCTCGCTGTGATCGTTTACCTGCTGGGTTTGGTTTGGTTGCGACAACTGTTCTAGTTCCTTCGGGGCTGTTCTTTTCGCCGCTCTCGCGATCACTGGGTTCATCCCCTGAGAGTCTTGTGTACCTCTTTCCCCCGATTCAGCTGTTGCTTCGGGTTCTGGCTCAGCTCAAGTCCTATCAGGGGAGGGTTCTCCTGGCCCCATGGAGGCCGGCCCAGCCTTGGTTTCAGGCGTTGCTTGCTCAGTGTCCGAACCCGGTGCATTTTCTGTGGCTCTGCCTCTTTCAGCAGATCAGGCCGGTGAGGTACCTGGTACAAGGTATGCTCTACTCTTCTGTGCTTCGCGTCTGGAATTTCTGAAGCGGGCATTCCACCATCTGTATGGTGACCAGGTGGCTTCTCTAATGGTGTCCCACTAGCGGTCTTCTTCTTGGCAACAATATGGAGTCTCTTGGTGGTCTTTTCCCCATTTCCTTTCCCTGCATAGGTTGTCCTCGGTCTCAAGATTGTGTTGTGTTGACTTTTCTTTCTTGGCTCTTTCAGGACAGGCATCTTATGCCGAATACTGTCGCTTCGTATCGTGCGGCACTGTCAGATCCTCCAGCTTATGTTTGGGGTGGATGTCACTTCGGCTCCATTTTGCGAGCTTTCTCATGTGTTTTTCCACCTCTGGTCTGTCTCATGCTTCACCTGAGCCGTCCTGGTCTTTGGACCGGGTGCTCTCCTTTCTCTCTTTCCCTCGGTTTGTGGAGGCCCCTTCGGTCCTTGACTGTTTCCAGAAAGCTTTGTTCTTGTTGACTTTGGCCTCTGGGGGTCGGGTTGGGGAGCTTCATGCTCTCCTCTGGCGCAGAGGCTTTAGCTCTTTTGGTCCAGGTGGACATTTTGTTTGCTTGCAGCTGTCTCCTTCTTTTCTGGCGAAGAGTGAGACGATGGGCTTCTGGAAGGGTCCGTGGGTTATTGATGCTTGGTTGGGTCAGGCAAGGGGTGCATTATTTTGTGTCCAGTTGTGGCTTTACACTGTTATCTGTGCGCCTCTGCTTCTATGTCCGGGGACGCGTTTTGGGTTGACCCAGTTTCTCTTGTTCCCTGTTCCAGAACTTGAGTTTCTCAGGTCGTCCACAGGGTTATCAAGTCTAGCCAGCCTGTGGTCTACCCTCGCGCCCATGATGTTCATAACTTCACAGCTATGGCTGCTGTTTGGTAATACTGTATGTCTTGAGCGGACATTCGGGTGTGGGGGTTTTGGAGGTGGAACAAGGTCCTGGTTGCCCGATATCTTGTTAATGTGCTGGGCCCTCAGCGGTCTTGGGTCAGCGGCTGCAGCCAGTTGTCTCATCTTCGTTATGAGTGGTGCTGTGCAGCCACCTCCCGGGTAAGTCCCTCTCTTTCTGCTCTTTGGGTAGTTAGCTCCAGGGAGCTGACGGAGCTCTCCCACAGAAAACCAGCATTGAATGTATTGAAATGCCATTTTCTGGGTAGAGCCCTGGAGGCTCCCTGGCACCCTCCCTCCCCCAGTTGGCAGGTTTTGTTTCCGTTTTCAGCCTCCAAACTGACGATCAGTGTGCTGGAACCCCCCTCTCCCTCTCCCTGGCATGGGGAAGGGTTTCTGACTAGTGATCCCCGGTAGGCATGACAACCCCTTATGACTGAAGTCTCTTGCTAATATTAGCTAATATCAGTCCAATAGCTCCAGGGAGCCTCCGGGGTTCTACCCAGAAAATGGCGTTTCGTTATATTCAGCACTGGTTTTTATAGGGTTTAATTGTGCTATCATTTGAAACTCCTTTCAAGGTATTTTTCGTTGATAGAGATGATACCTTGGACAAATGGAATGAGGGATTCTTAAAGTACATGCTTAGTTTTATAAACAGATGTGTATTAATACTGAGAGATTGAATGAATGTGCATATAAGATAGAGACATGAATGTACATGTACTGTATTGCTGAAAAGGCAAGGTTGTCATACAAGTTCAGTGTCTAGAGGCTGTTTTGTATGGATCACTTGGTGATATCTTCTTCCTTTCTAATTCAAACGTCTATGACTTAGCTACAGCACGTTTTAATAGAGATGCTTCTGCACTCAATAAAATTGTGCTTTCTCCTGCCATGGGCACTTTATCCAGTAACACCTCAAAACATTTTTACATTTTTTGTTATTGCTACTGATGCCAAAAACCTGTGAATCATTGAAATTGCAATGAATCTGTAAATTTGAGATCATGTTATGTGACGAAGATTGTGACTGCATGTTTAATGTGTTATTTTCATGTTGCCACACTTGTACGATGAATATTGCCAAATAAATATTAAATTTTTCTTCTGATTAATCTCTCTTTTTCTGCCACTCATTTTTATATCTTAATGAATATCTAAGATCCTGAACTGTTGTGTAGTTGTTTCCCCATTTTATGCTTACATCATTTTACAGTTCACTGCATTTCGGAAAAAGTGCAGCGTTCAGGTTGGTCCACTTTGGTTATCTGAAGGCTAGTTTACTCCAGTAATAGATTTTAAGGCTTCAGAATTTAACTGTTGTCTTGGTTTGTTAATTAATTGAGGTAGTGATGAATAGTGACATACAATTTGGTAGTAATGTAGTGATGTACCTTGGTCATCTCATTTTACACTTCCATGTACAATTGATGGATATACTTTGTCCATCTGACCATAGTATTTCATCTGAAAGCAACGTTTCCTGGTTACCAAGATACATGTCTCTCTTAAGGTTGATGTTCAGCAATTGCTTGAATTTACTTTTTAATTTTTATTTATTTAATTTTTTCACTGCAGGGAAATTATTTTAAAAGGTAATCATCATGATGGCTTTAAGGGATACTTGTATATTAATTTCTTTAAGCGGAATTAATCATTTATTCGGTATCAATATTTACTAATATGAATACATTCTTGATATTAAGCATTTCAACACAAGTCAATATTATTATCTAAAATAAGTTTCCTGTACTGTGTTGGTGCATCAACTAGGAGTGGACTAGCAGGCTATTCAAAGAGAAGTTTTTGTATTAGGCCTACTACTCGGCTGTTCTTTCTTTTTTGCATAGTTAAGATTAGGATACGTGATGGAATCGTGCTTGGGTGTACAGTATTTTTCACGTTAGGTGTGGCTTCCTGTTTTACGCTTCTGTGCATGGTAGTTTAAGCATCCATGTGTAGTTATTGTGAGGCCGAGTTTGTACAGAAAATTTATTAGTTTAAATAGATCAAGGGGGGGGGGTGATACAATAGTTTACACATGGCTGCTAACAGCTAGTTAGTCTAGTTTAGACAGATATGGGGCTACACTAGTCTATAATATTGTTTGCCTGATAATATTTTCCAGTTGACCTTCTTTTCTTTCTTTTGCGTTGATTACAGCACTGCACTCATTGTACCACCTGTTGTCGATACACCACCCTGCACTCATTGTACCACCTGTGGTCGTTACAGCACTGCACTCATTGCACCACCTGTATTCTTTACACCCCTGCACTCTTTACACCTCTGCATTCATTGTATCACCTGTACTCTTTATACCACCTGTACTCTTTACACCACCCTATACTCATTGTACCACCTGTACTCTTTACACAACCCTGCACTCATTGTACCACCTGTACACCACCCTGCACTCATTGTACCACCTTTACACCACCCTGTACTCTCTACTCCTGAAATTCCTTAACGACCTTTTTCATATTGTGAAATATATTGGACTAGGCATACCTTCCTTGCTCACCTTCATGTGATTAAACCATACCTAATTCTTTTGTAGGTTATTGGATTTTATATAAAAGAAACGCCTGAAATTTCAACAAATTTGTGTACTGTAAGGAGGAAAGTTGACCTTGGGAGTTATTCCTTGTTTTATTTCATTCATCCATGTGTCTGTTATTGCAATAATGTCTAGTGTTTCTGCTCACACAAGTGCATTTAATTTATCTACTCTATTTTGTTTGTGATATTTCTGCTTTTGTGTAATAAACCTTTAGTGTTGCTGTGTTTGTTGTCCCTCTTTCTTTCCCTTCTCATCTGTGAGATATTTTTAAAAAATCCCTATAGTTTTCTTATTTTTGCCTCAACATTTTACTATTGCTTTTCTAGTTTGGTTTTCATATTTACAATTTTTGCTAGTACAAACCTAGGCCTCTACAAACGTGAATCTACAAGTTCAAGCCCTGAGACATATTCCGCTCTACTTCATTACTGAAGAATGCTACCCTCACCTTGGATATCTGTTATAGATGCATTTTTGCACTTCAAATTCTGCTCCAAGTGCTTAAGGTCAAGGAATAATTCTAGAGTAAATAATAGTTTTTTGGAGATAGCCATAGATAACGTAGCATTTTGATGAGTGGTTAGTACTGTATTTGGCAGGGATTTCAACTGTCAGTGTAAAAATATTTAATATATTATGGCAATGTTCACCTGTAAACATTTTCAGATTGCTGTTTCGTATCATTTGAGGTATATTATGCTTTGTGCCTTCTTATTCACTTCGCTCATTGTGATCTTAATTGTTTTTTCTCCCCTATTTTCTATTCTTATTGCCTCCCCCCCCCTTCATGTTACCATATTTCTTTCCCGTGTTATTTGCAACAATCCTTTTATGAAAGTCTATTTCCTGCATCCCTATTCCATTTTTTCACATTATGTATCGTTTAATATCATTGTGATTTTAAAATAGCTGCTTACACATGCTGATTTGTTGAATACCCCACAAACTGAGACTAGGAAGACAAAGTTGAAATCGCCAACAGTACTGTATTTCATCTTAAATATCTTAATCATCGGCTTCCAATACTGTATTAATTTAGTTTGTCCATACATTTATGTTATTCCCTTTTATTATTTAGAGTTTTATGAAATCCATATTCATCTTCATAGATTGTAATTTACTTGTAAGGACATTCTTAGTCTGTACTCTCTTGCCCATTCCAGTTTTCAGTATTCATTTTGCATATTTAGATTAGTTTGACCTTTCATCCGATAATTCTGTTAACACCTAAGGATAACTTTTGTTGTTTTCCTCTCTCTCTCTCCTTATCTAGACTTGAGCAGGACACCACTGTAACTGAAATCAATGTCTTCTTAGATGCATGTTCTTCAGCCTTAGTCTTTTTCCCTACTAAATTAAGATAATCTCTATTCCCAAGCTTTCCTAATTTGTATCAGGTTTTTGCTAGATAGTAATGGCACTTTGATAGCTGGAGTGTGCTTTGGTGTGCCACCAAGTGTGTCTGTGGGTCAAGAGACTTGTATGTGTATATTTTTGACAAAAATACTTCCCTCGCAAACTGGAATAATTTTTGGTCAGTAAAAATGGCGTTGATAGTTTATTCTTAGGGCCTTGTGGGTATGTGGAAGCTTTGTTTCTGAGAATGTTTCTGTATGTAAGTAGCTACATGTTTATATGGAATAACGTTCGTGGCCGTTGTTAAAGGAGCTGCGAGTAGCACCTAGTCTTACTGTGATATGACTATACCTGAGTTGCAGGACTGTTTGAGTCAATTTTGTTATTGGTACTTTTTAAATTAAATTATTTCAATTCTATATGTTCCTATGTACAATTCATGAAATTTGACTTCATTTTATTGTTTAAAGGGCTTGTTAAGCCACCTGCTTAGTCCTGTGATGAAGAGCATAAGCTAGTATATTTTGTTAAATGTTTTAAAAGTCTAAGATTAAAGGCATGTGTTGTTTTAATTGTTGTGCATGGTACAGAAGTGAAAGGCAATGAAAAATGAAAAGTATAATGATGTCATGACTAATAGGGTTCCGACCCTTGGGGTCCGACATCCGACCCATGTTTTAGATCCTTATTGTGCTTAGCTTCATCAGTATCATGACCCTTATGTTCTTCAAACAATAAGGTCTGAATTTCACGGACAGAGAGCGATCTTTCAACACCACGTCGAACAGGTGTTTGGGAGCCAGAGGCACATGTGCCACCCATGGTTGCTCACTTGGAACTGAGCCAGCCAGCAGCTCTAGGACATTCTAGGAATTTTTTCAAAGATGGCTGCTTCTCACTGGAGGTCCCAAGAGTCCATTTCGTACACAACCTACCACGCATGTGTTTTGAATGGGTACAAAATATTTAAAGGTGTTTTCTCGGCTCACAGAGTTTCCCACCGACTGAGTTTTCTCAGCCGGCGCAGTCCAGTGGTTAAGTCACTATTATTGCCATTATAGTATAATATAAAGATACAATCGCTACTCTTTTTCATTCCTCTAGCATTGCACCATATACACATTCTTTCCAACAAATTTCCACACCTATTCGTTCTACTTTTTCTCCACTGCATTTAGTAGTTTCCTGTATATACCTCATCATTCCCAGTACAGTAGCTTTGTCACATCTCAGCTTGTTACACTAGCAAAACATTTTCACTTTCATCAGCTCCATCCATCAGACTTTCCCTTCACCTGCACCTCAAACAAACAAGACCCATGGCTGAACATAGTTTAGTTATATGGGGTTTTAAGCAACTCCAAATGAAGTATAAATGTAGGCCACTAGTTAAAAATTAAGTTCAGAGATTAAGAATGTCTAAGAAGAGAATGGCAGGAAGAATATATTAGGGTAGTTGAACATTTTCAGCAAGCAAGGATCAAAATAAAGTACTGTATTCAAACTGAATACAAGTTGTGAAAATGAGAGAAGGATTCCAGTTTTTGTGGTGGAATGTGTGAAGCTTTGTTATACAGATTCTGCTTAGCCCTCCTAACTTTAAAGTGAACTGCTGCATATCTATTAAGAGAAAAGTAAAATAAATATTTTATTATGATTGTGTTGTGGCAGCATTTGAATAATGAAGATTGTTAATAGTCACATCAGAGCAAAGGTAAAATTAAAAATTTAAATGTCAATTTTTTTATTTTTTATTAGCGAAACATTCTTCGGGTCTTCCTTATCAAGCTATTCTTCACATTTGGATGATCAAAAGTTACTTTGATTTTAACAGGCATATTTAGTAATGTTAACACAAATTTTTTAAAACTAATGTGTTTCATTCATGTTAATTGCCATTATTTAGGCAAAAAATATGCAGTTGGAAAATGTTAACTACTGTATTGGTTTAAAAATTTGTTTTGATACAGCCAGTTCTGGTTCCAAATGATGGCCAGAGTCCAATGCCAGAAGGATGGGAGGAGCGGCAGGATGCCAATGGCCGCACCTACTATGTAAACCACAATGCCCGAACTACGCAATGGGACCGACCAACCAGGTACACTTAACCCTTTTAAATATAAATTACGTTAATCAAAGGAACTCCTGGTAGTGGTTGTAAAAAAAACATGTACTGTATATTACCGAAAATTTTAAAATTTGTAGTAAGGTAAATGATCGTACATGTAATTCTTAAAATTTCTGTACATTTACTAGATACATTTTTATTAATCCTTTAGCTGCAAATTTGCATTAAATTCCCATTGTCAGGGGGCCAGGAATCCTTTTTTAGGCTTATCACGGTCCCAAGGTCAACTACTGAACTTCCCCAAGATGCAAGCCATAACACTTACCTAACTCTTGAAGGTTGAGGGTACCTGTTTATTGCTAGGTGAACAGAGGTATCAGACAAAAGGAAATGTGCACAATCATTTCTATCTGCCTGGGGAGTGAACCCAGGGTTCTTGATTGTGAGTTGAGGATATAAGCCACTGTACTACAGTTTCTGGGTGATGTAGTTTTGCAGATCAATTTTAATTTTTATAGTTTTGCCTTTTCTATTAATGCCTGTCAGGGGTTGCCTAAATAACCCTGGAGGGTTATTAATGCAACGCATAATAACCTTATTATGTTCACCACATCTCCTTCCCCCCCCCTCCTTAAACAGCTCCCAGGCCAACAATGAGCAAGAACGGATTACACGCATGGAGTCAGCACAGAATGAATTTCGAAATGAGTTTCGGAGGAGATTCCACATCTCTGTGGATGACAATGAAGTGTCCAGAGCGGGAGATAATTCTGCTGTCCTGCAGCGGGTATGTTTTATTTTGTTAAGTAAACCATTACTAAAATGAAGCTACTATGTTTCATATTTATTTCCATGTCCCTTAATTGTTAATTTCACAGTACATGGTAAGGCAGCAGTTCTCTCAATTTATTGCAGTCCCAGGTAATGGGAAATGTATTATATTTTGCATTACACTAAGCCCCAAAATCATCTCAAGATTACCTCAAGAAAAAAATATTCCCACTGAAATATGTGAAAATGAATTTTGAGAATGAATCCTCACAATCCCTCTTGTCTTCAAACTCCATTACTCTTTATTTCTAGAGGTCTTCCATGGTCTTTACCATACATATCTATCTCAGTTCATTGCTTTCAATACCTATGTTGATTTTCATTAACACTGTATCATCTATGTGTTGTAAGGGCACGTGCTTGTAAGCCGTACCCTAGAGTACGAGCTCACAAAACCCGTCCTTATTTTCTTATTTACAGTATAGGTACGTTACTTTAAACCAGGGATGTAGAACCAATATGCATTTATAAGCACTTCAAACACAAGAATGACCACGTGGAACCAGTACCATAATTTTGCTTTGGTTAGACTCAAAAAACAATCAAGGTGCATTCTTTACATTTATTTAAACACAGGAAAAGGGATAATGCACTAACAAGAAAAATTCTCACTCGCCAGATTAACAATTACAGTTCCAGACACTTGGACATAAATGGAGGTCAATAACCTTACACAGTGAGTTGAGTACCTCACGAGCACACACCACCCAACCTGTGTGTGTGGAGTCTCAGCCCTCTCGCCCTCATCGAGTGCAGGACACTCTTCTCATGAAAACACGCGGGGAAACTGTACACACAGAATCATACTCATTTACTAATACATACTCTCAAACACAAATGAAATATATAAAGTAACACAAAACAAACTGGTATTTTACCTTGCGATGATTTCGGGGCTTATCGTCCCCGTGGCCCAGTCCTCGACCAGGCCTCCAACTAGGAGGCTTACAACTTAAACTAGGAGAAACATTTACATTAACAACCACAAAAGCCAAACTTTATATACCAGTCATTACAGTGTCAGCCATATTTCAATCAAGCTTTTATGATGCCATTGAATAAACACTGAAGTTTAATAGTGGCCAAAATTAATGATGTAACACTAATACCCTTACATTACATGGTTGATAATTGTCTTCTTTTTTTAGATATAATCCAATTTTTCTCCCTGTTCTAGTGTTAATATTGTATTTTGTTTTGTTTCAATAGTTGTCTTAGCTTGATTTTTACTGCACAGTAATTGTACCTAAGCACTGTCTGGGGTTTTGTGTGTTATTTAATTGTATGTGTAGCAGTAGTAGTTCGTGCCTGTGTTAACTAATGGATTTACCTCTTTTCCACTTGGTCTGTGCATGTGACTGTTGCATGTTTACATGACTCGTGTGTTGGGGATCACTATAGGAACAACTCGGTGACCACGAAGTGGAGGAGGAGGAGGAGGATGATGGTGGTGATGATGATGAGGATGATGATGAGGAGGAGGAGGAGGACCAGGAGGAGGGGGAGGAAGAGGATGATGGGGAAGAGGGACATGCTCATGAGGAAGAGGCAAGACCTCGCTTTGAGGAAGTGACCTCTGAAGAGGTGAGACCTGTGCACCGAACAGCAATAAATATTGTAGATAAGCTTTCTATGTTGTATATACTTCTTAGATCAGTATTGTGATAGTGCTTAAGATTTTAGTTACGATGATTCGAACAGAGCCATTTTAAATAGATAAGCTTATGTACGCCTTGGGCAAAATTTGTGACAAAGTGCTTAGATTTTAGTTCTGGTTTAAATTGTTCATAGATGTATGTAGTTAAATGTAGATAAGTATGAAACATTACTTTTAAATGTGTTTTCCGGATGTCATAAGCTATTGCGTGAATTACCATTATACAGTAACTCTTAATAAGAAACTTGTCCTGTAGTGATACTGGTATTCGTAAAATTAAGGAAAAATCAAAATTAGCAGTGATAAGATCTGAAACAAAAATTTGTGTTGCCTCCTGTATTATATATTGCTAAATGGCAATCTTTAACCAAAGTTTTTAAGGGCTTAGTATCATACTTGTAACTCCTAGCCAGAATTGAACATGGAACTTTCAGCATGATGAATGTGAAATTCTAATGAGGATACTTTATTATGCAATTGCTTGATAAAAGAATAATAGTAATTATTATTATTATTATTACTGTATTATTGTTATTTTATATTTTTTATTTATATAGACTAGAGTTCTTACATTCCTGTACAGCCACTAGCATTTCGGGCAAGTCCTTAATCCTAATATTCTCTGGAATACGACCCCGCCAAATCGTTTAACCAGGTACCCATTTTATTGTTCGGTAAACAGAGGCTATAGTTAAGGATTGGCCCCAGTAAATCCTTCCCGGCCTGGATACGAACCCAGGCCAAAGCGCTTGCGAAACGCCAGGCAAGCGTCTCACCACTTCGTCACGGGGACTGCTGGGTCATATAAACATAGGCTGCAATTAGATAACATACACATGTATGTTAATATATCGTATGTTATTCCCCAGTTAATGCATCTTTCTAAGGCCTTCTGTGGAACTAATATTCACTTGGCCACACTACATCATTTTCTTCAGTCCCTATGTTGCTCTTTAATTTAGTTCTTACAATTTTTTTATAGTTATTAATTTTACAGTTCTCTTGTTTTGATCGACCTTCTTTTATGTAACGTGCACATGATTGATGATTGGCATTTGTCCTTCCCACATTTGGGTACTCGCTGCAAGCAAATAGCAACCATTATACAGGAGGATGGTAAAAAATAATACAGGTAAATGGAGGATGAAGAATTCATCACGAACATTCCAGCTGTACCTACAATTCAGAGTAATTTGTATGAAAGTGATGAATAGATAAAACATTTGATAGTTTTGCAAGGGAAGCAAATAAAGCCTGAAAAAATTTAGGTAGCCTGGTAAGTTAGAGAATTATTTTAATTGTGTGTGTGTGTACAGACCATCCTCTTGAAATGAAGTGCTTATAGTAGCTATTAATGTAAACGTATAAATATGAATTGTTGCAGCCAACAATTTTCACATTTTGTAGTGGGCATGAAAAGCAAATTAGGCATTCTTAGGCCTAGTATAGCACATATATACCATGTAAGTACCACATTAGGTCTTGGAATCCTTGGTCAGATCAGGTTAGGTTCTTTAGATTTCCAATTTCTTAGTATGCCATTTAGGCTAATTCATTACTGTAATAGAGAATGTGTACATTTTTAGGCCCAACACTCCATTTCTGTACATTTGACCAAATAGTTGCTATGAGTACTCTAATTATTGAAGGATGGGCTCATGTTGTGTTATTAAAGTATTGTATTAATTATCTTTGAAGTGCTACACAATATCACATTAGTATTTGGCATACAAACTTTTAACCTGTGCCTGAATCATTTAGCACCTGCACATCAGTAAATATTTATCAAATTTGTTGATAAATTAAAAAATGATCCCTATTCTATGTTCACTGTATATGTCATATTATGCACCATTGCATTATACTAGCCCATAGAAGCCATATTGGTCATTGGATGAGGCTGGAAGAGGGGTACACTTATGCTTGACCACCACTTGTCTTGACAGATTCAAGAGGCACAAAGCACAGGGGGTCAACGACCATCCTCAACAGCGTCGTCCCCGGCAACCCCATCCACTATCACCATAAACAACTCTAGTGTTACCAATAATGCACCCAAGGTATGCACCTATGCACACTTCTTGCCACCCGTTGCACTCTGTGCATGCTTGCTTCATAATCTTTATATATTTGCTTATTTATGTATACAGTATAATAATATAAATGCTATCTTAATGGTAAGTTTATTTAATGGTTTTAAGAATTAATGGTACCCTTTGGTGAGCTAAATTTAGCATGATATTTTTCTCCAAATATTGGAGGTATGCCCCAGTATAGACCTTGCCGAGTCAGTGTTAAAAGGGGTAAATGTATTATTCTATTTCCAAAGATCCATTTTTTTCCATGTGCCCTATCACTACAAGTTGTTTTGCAAGTTGGTGATTAATTTCTATGATTAAATTGCACTATGAGGCAGCAATATAAGCGAGGCTGCAATGATGTGATCACACAGCCAATTCGAGCCTGGCCTCAGGGCGAGCTTGAGGGAGTAGAATTCCCGAGACGCACTACAGGTCAGATCCAGACAATTACTAGCTAACCAAATGGTGCTGAGCATGACTAAGTTATATTTCTGAATTTTTTTATTGAACTAAATAGATCACAGTATGACCAGATGATGGTTATTTGGGCAATGAATACTTGATACATACAGTATCAAGAAATTTCTGCTATATGGAGTTGTTATAGTTCAGCTTAGGATTACAGAAAACTGCACTACTACAATCAGTGTATGGTAGTTGGCAATTATTATTGTTGTAGTTTACAGTATAATAGTTATCCATCTGGTAAATTTTGTTTGAATTCTACTTTAAAATGTAATTCATTAGTTTCAAGGAAAATGGGCATTGTTGCATTGCTGTTAATCCATACATGCACATCACATGGATGGAAGTGCATGCTCTGGTTGGTCGGTCTCCTCCTCTTTCACTAGTCAGTGGACTCCATCCAGAGTTTCTGCAATCAGTTAGCATAAATCTGCATACATACATAAATGAAGACATTCATATGGACATATTTAATAGTTCACAAATACTTATTGTACATAGAAGTTAAACCAGGGTTCAACAACTAGATTCAGGCCTTTGATTTAAATATTTTTAAACCCTGTTCTGTCAAGGATTCATGAAGCACTTTCTGTCTAATAACATCATCTCATAATGTTTTAGGTATTTCGTTGTTGGCTGTAATATGCTCATTCATAAATTAAACTGGCCTACTATGGAGTATCTTGATTAGCAATTCATGAACCTTTGTATAAGACATTGTCATACAACCTAATTGCATTAAATTTCAACTCAAGTCAACTTCCTTCACATCTGCCTCATTCTACCTATTCCTTGTCTTGCTACTGTGGCTTCTTGTTATTTCATTTATATCCACTTCTTGCATTACAGCTAAGCTCTGTCCTCCTAATCCTCTAAATTGCAGCAGAGCTTCTTGTTTTAGCTATGTCCTAAAACTTTGAGAAATAGTTAGCATTGCTCATAATTGCCCAATTATTTTGTACTTTGTGAATTCCTTAGTACTGTAATTGTATATTATGTAATTAGATTTGGTAACTTAGCAAACACACACTATATCTTAGTAATAGGTGGTGATGAAGGGCAAGAGGGTTTCGTGAGGAGGAGGAAGCGAGATGTAGGCAAGCAGGAAGTGTGGATTTGCATGTGTGTTAATGTGATTTTGTTTTTATTTATTTTCTTGCTGGTTTCTTTGCTTGCAGTGCATATGGTTGTGGAAGGTAGTAGGGAGGTTTGTGTTGGTGATAGTGGAGTGGTGAAAGAAAGATTGATGTATTAAGTGTGTGGTTGTAATATATACACATGTATTGTATCTGTGAGTTTTCTTGATAAACAATCGAGTGTCCACTTTTTGAAGATGTACGGTTTGAATAATGTGTGATAGACTTTAATATCTTAGGAAACATGTCTTATAATGATGAATACATTAATATTTATGTACTCTATTACATTGATGCTACCTGAAGTTAAGAAGCATTTTACCTTGAACATTACAACATTTTACTAAACATAAAAGTCACAGGACTAATTTTATGTTATTCTAAGTTTAATTTTATTTAGATATGCAAGATGCTATACTAAAAAGCTAGTGAAAAAAAAAGACAACGATGAAAAATTAAAATAATGAAAAATGCATATTACAGTACATGGTACATGGAAGATGTTGAACTGGGAACTAGTGTAACATCCATGATACAGACGTATGTGCACACGTAAGATGCTGAGGTAGGAAGTCTCATGCATGACACGTGATGCAATGTAAAGCTGTGTACGTATGTAGACAGTTAGATGGCTTCCTACTGTGCTGGGGTTAGTCACACGGATCTGCTTCAGTTATTCTTAGGGTTGCCACTGGAACAACAAAAACTTATACAGCATTGTCAAAATTATTGTTAGCACAGAATTTCTGACTTCCTGTAAATTGCAGCAGTTGGCTTATCTTGACAACCCGTGAAATTTGTAGATCAGTGAAGAACCAGAATTTTTCCACTGTTTCCTGGAATTATTTTCAGTTTATGTTAAAGTTATTGAATTATTATAAACTGTTGAGTGAAAAATAGAACAAAAAACCACAAGATGCAAAATATTGAAATAGTTATAGTAAGTTTGGGGTCGGAGAAACCAATATTCACTGAAGCTGTTTTTCCCGATCCAGAAGTCAGAAGTTTATATGCTGACCGTGAGGAGGAAGCACAAAGTCAAAGGCGGGAAGCCAGAAGGCGGCTTCGTCGTGATCAGCGTCGAGTTGCTAGGAATACCACCGATAGCTCAGACGATGTACATCAAAGAGAAGGAAGATCAGACTCCAACAGTAGCGTTCAAAATTCTATCATAGGCAATATAAATACCGGTGAAGTTAGTCGTGTTCATGTTAGTGGTACAGAAGACGAGTGGTTTGTAATTTCATTACCTGGAGATAACAATGAGGAAGATGCAGCGTCTGTTCGCCAACAGCAGAATATCGTTTCTACACGATATCTTAGAATTCCATTTGCCCATCATGCTGGGAACCGACTGGAAAGCTTGCCTCTAGCCAACCAGCATCGTCATCACCCAGATGAAGAGGAGGAGGAAGTATGGTGGCTAAGTCCAGAGCCTTCACAAAGCAGCTCTCCTAAGCCAAGTCCAATTACCTCTCCATTAATTAAAAGAATTGGTAATAATTGGATGAGCAAATCACTGGCTCGACCCAACGGTTGCAACACATGCAAAGGAGATTTGGCTATTCTTTCCCATCACCGTCCTCGATTAAGAGAAGCATTATTTTTCCAGGTGCTTTTATTTGGTTGATATGTATAGTACTTGCCAGTCTGCCCTTACCTTGCCCAGTTATAGCCATAAAGGTCTACTGTCACCCCCAGATGCACGTGTGTAATGCAACCCAGATCTCCACCATTATTGTATTCTAAAGGTATCCCTTATGGTTTAGTGAAAAAATTATTAGTTTTTTCAACACTTTCAGTGTTTGGTGCTATTTGGGGAATACCTTTGCATATCACCTTGAAACATTCAAGACTTTAATGTGGTGATGCAACGATGGTTCCCCTGAGGAGAACTTTGAGTAATACCGTATCTCTAAAATTAACTTGTTTTTTTCACCAAAATATCTTCACACAGGCACTGATGTGAGGAAATACTCTAGTAATCTCAGTTTCAAATATAAAAGAAAGGTTTATATAATTAACCATATTCATTTTTAATCTTTTGACCAAGTATGTGACCTGATGTCAAATTGTCTAGAAAGATAGAATACTGATGTCTGGTATCCTGAACCCCCTCCCTTCCCCTTTCCCTTCTCCCTCCCACTGAGAACCCTTCCTAGGTTTTACTTCTCTCTCCCTCCCATCCCTACCTCACCACCAGTACAAAGACCCTATTACTAGTAGACCATCACTATTGCTAGTAGGGAAGGTATTAAGAGTTAGACCTTTAGTTACTAATAGGAAGCCACCATTATCACCAGTACTTATACCATCATTAACACCATTACCAAATTCCATTAATATCCTTACCACTACCCCCTTTCAATCCTCCATTACCAGACTCACATTACCATAGTCATTTCACCAGCCTGTGGTTCCTTGATAAAATCCTTGGTAATCTGACATTTTTTATATCACTCATCTCTATGCTTTCATACTGGCTTCCTGAATGATATCCTGGAGCTCTTGAATATTCTGTTACAGTAACACTGATGACTTTCTGGGCTTGGGGCTTTCTTTTGATAATTGCTTGCTTACAAGTCTGTGTTCATTATACTCTTAACTTTGTATGCTCCTTAATCCATCGCATCACCCTTGAATCATTGTACCTCTGGTACTGACATGCCACTCAATCCATATCCTGGAATATGCTGCCCCAGGATATTTTTGTCGGTCACCTACATGCAATAAAAACATATTTAGCTATTATTATTACTCTATTATCATGATTATTATTATTCATATTAGTTAAGGTAAAGGAAAGACCCAATATATGTGTAAGGGTATTTTTGGATGTAACCTACCCTTCTTCACAATACGTGCAGTTTGCATGAAGGTTTTTTCCTCCCGATGACTGCATGAGTGGTGATGTCGTAAGATGCGACACTCACAGTGGCGCATCAATTTTCATAATTTCGCTGAGATTGAAAGTTATTGATGTCTTCCATTTGTGTGAGCATAATGAGAAAAATATACATATGAGTGGAAGTGGATTCAGGATGGCAAAGATGAGGAGTTGTGTTAATAGTGGTATCAAAGTGTTGCTATTTTATGAAAAGTGTGAGGTTTAGTCAAGAGACTGAGTTTGTGAGTCGAAGTATGTTTGGGAGTTGTCACAATTCAGATAGGTTAGGGTAGATTATGGTAAGGTAAGAGTACATTAACCTCCCTTCTTCCCCATCCCCCAAGCCCTCCCTTCTCCCACATGCCCTCCCGTCTCTCCCACCCACAAGCCCTCCGTTCTCCTTAAGTAACATGGGGTTATTGTGTATAAGGTTAGATCAGGTTGGGGTAGGTTAGTTGAAGATGGGTTATGTTATGTTGTCGTATTTTGGATTTTTACATCTGGGATGTGATAACATAAGTCTTCTTTGATATGTCAGTAGTACACCGTGTTGAATATCTGGGAGTGGTTTGAGGATGTTTTGTGGAAGAGTGTGGTTTATGTGGTTTTTCAAAGTGCCAGGTCACTGGGAGGTTTGTACAGCCAGGGATTTCTTACTCTTGGTGCCGGTGGTTGTGGTATGTCAGCCTGGGGAGTGACTTTGGTAAGGCATGCTAAGGAGTTATTCATCCTTTCTCAAGGTGCTTGAGCATTTCATTTTTAATATGCTTACAAATATATTGGGTCTTTCATTCACCTTCATTCAAACGCTGTGGCATTGTAGTAAGTTTCTCAATATTATAAATATTATCATTATTATAATAATATGAGTCTTACACACATAGTAATCACATTAACGTGACTGCATCAATGAGAAAAGCCGTAGTAGCCGTGATGAGAGTTCGAACCTATGTGGTGGGTGTTCCCACACGCACACACGCTCTAGCGGCTAGACCATGTCGTGGTCTAGTTGCTAGAGCGTGTGCATGGGAACACTCACCACATAGGTTCGAAACCTCATCACGGCTCCTACGGATTTTTTCAATGTGATTATTATTATTAATAGTACAGTAATAGTAGCATTTGTTCACCAAACACTATTCCAAATGGATATTTTACATCCAAAGTTTCCTGTTTATTATATTGCTCTTTTTACCAGATATTATATTTTATTAATGCAAAAGATAGAGCACACTTTTGCACATACAGTATGTACTTTTATGTCATAATCACTTAAAAATAAAAAATGTATGTTTATATACTTTTGTTGAATTTTTTTTAGTTTCTGATTTCCAGTCCACTGAATGCACAAGCTTGGTCCATTGGAAGACTTGCATTGTTTTCTAGTGCAGCTGAAAATAATGACATACTCCCAGAACAGACTACTCCTGTGCATCAATTTCCATTGTAGTTGAAATCCTGTATATTACTATATTACTACAGTATTGTTATGTATCATCTTCCCCATTCTCTCTCTCTCTCTCTCCCTCCTCATTCCCTTCTCTCCATATTTGTATGTATGTAATTAATGAAAACATATGGCCTTTGTCACTATTAAATACTATGTGTTGGTATACTCTATTATAATATATAAATATTCCTTGGGTAGATAACACTGTTGTATAAATATTTTATATGCCACAATGTTAATTAGTTTTTGTGAGGCTTGTAATACCGTAATAATTATCAACCTAATTGTATTTAAATTTCCCTCAGCCTCAAACTCCAACCCCAACTGGGACAGATGAAACACTGCCTCGTGGATGGACTAGCCAAGTAGCTCCGAATGGACGTGTGTTCTTTATTGGTGAGTTACGATAAGTATTATTGAAGAATTTCATACACTGTAGATACTGGGGGGGAGGGGTTAATGCACTGCAAAGCAGCTATATTGGTGTGTTTAATCACTGATTAGCTGTTACATCTGTCTTTGTCTCACAGATCATATCAACAAACAGACAACATGGATAGATCCACGTTCTGGCATGCCAAGTTCTCCGCCCAATCAACGCCACACAAACAATTGGAGACATGAAGATGAGTTGGGACCACTACCAGAAGGCTGGGAACAGCGAGTACATACTGATGGTCGTATATTCTTTATTGATCACAGTGAGTACAAAGTGTCTTCAACTTGATGTTTTTTCAACCTGTTATTTAAATATATGCCATAGTCTGTGGATGTACGTCTGTCTCTCGTGTGGAAGTTAAGTAAAGCTTGTGCCGAATGCATTCCAGTAAAAGAAAGAATGAAGAAAATAGAGTATTCCATGCAAAGTTGTAAAATTGAATATAGGAAAGATTTGCTGATGTTGAAATAAATTGGGGAGAGAATTGGGTGTGATCACATATGTTTAAAATATGGTAAATAGTATACAACAAAAATATTTTTTTTTTTAAAAAGATGTAATAATAATTGACATACGACTTGCATGAAAATATATGTAGTGTTACCTTTTAAAGGGATAAAGCTCTAGCAATTCAGAAAATATTTTAAGTTCAAGTTTGTGAAATTTACGGATATCTTTACATAGAACAAGGGGCTTAATTGCATTTGATCTATAACATTATCACATGAAAAGCTATATTAAAATAAGATATACCAGGTAGGTATTTAATCTCACTTATTGCATTTTATAACAGTGTCAATTTTGTTTGTGTTTTAGATTATAAAATAATTCCTTCAAAATTATAAATATACAAATGCAAAATTTTATAACTGTACATGACATAAAATTAATAAAAAAGTCATTCTACTTTTGACACATTTAGTAAACAAGGAGCTGCATAATCATGATTCCTTTTCATATAGAGAACCGCACAACAACATGGGAAGACCCACGATTGCTCAATCCAGCCATTGCAGGCAAAGCCATACCTTATTCTAGAGATTACAAACAGAAATATGAATACTTCAAGAGCAGACTTCCAAAGCCAGTAAGTGCTCTTCTGCTGTTGTGTGTGTGTTGTGTTACACCACAACACAGTTTGTACAGTATTTGCCTAAACATAAGGAGTTGAAGTTATACGTTTTGATAAGTGCCAGAAAAGGCATTTCAGTTATTCATGTAAAATAATGTATAAAGGTTAAAGTGGGCAAAAACTTTTTGAGACTGTCTAGGCAATGATGATGAAGTTGAATGGACACTTTGGGGAAAATAAACCATATCAGGTAGAATTAGCTTTCTTTTAATAATTTATTTTAGCTTTTAAGCTCATCATTCACCTTGGAATAACAGCTTACACCTCATACAGGCAAATGTTCCCAACAAGTTTGATATCAAGGTGAAGCGAAACAATATCCTGGAGGATTCATTTGCCATTATCAGCCAGGTGTCTCGTGTGGATCTCCTCCGAACAAAGCTGTGGATTGAGTTTGAGGGAGAGGTATGAACCTATGTTTTTTGGTAATAATGTGTGATGATATTTTCAGTATATCTGTATCACTTAGTTTGTAACAGTGTATAATGGTAGTGATTTCCACTTAGGTCGGCTTGGATTATGGAGGTGTTGCTCGGGAATTCTTCTTCCTCCTGTCGAAGGAAATGTTTAACCCCTATTATGGTCTCTTCGAATATTCTGCCACGTAAGCTTGCAAGACTTTGTTTTAATTGCTACAATTTGCTATAAATTGTTTGAAAGTAATTTGCATCTACAGTACTAAAAAAATAATCCATCTTTATACTGTAATCTTTATGCCGTATCATCATCCTTTTATTTGAATCTTACCAAAGGTTATACAGGGACAATTAATGGCTATAAACATAAAAAAATGCCTTTCTCAATTCAGAGACAACTACACGCTGCAGATCAACCCATATTCCGGAATGTGCAATGAAGAACACTTGCGATATTTCAAATTTATCGGTCGTGTGGCCGGCATGGCTGTTTACCACGGAAAACTGCTTGATGGTGAGTTGAAACTTTGTCTAGTCCTTGGCCAAGCACAAATATCCTCATGGTTAAAGAAATTATATCAAATTCTGAACTCAATTGGTATCTTACATACAAATGAAATCATAAGAACATAATGAAACAACATATAAATATTGAGGCCATATGATTGGATTGAACCTACATCCTTGGGCTCCTCAAGCACAACTATCAACGCTTCGTATTAATGTTTCTCGCTCGTATTTTTATAGCCTTCTTCATCCGACCATTTTATAAGATGATGTTATCCAAATCCATTGAACTTAAGGATATGGAGAGTGTTGACTCAGAATACTACAATTCTCTACTCTGGATTCAGGTGAGTTGTAGTTAACAGATATTCTAGTTTCCATAGTTTTGGTAAATTAAAATTGTTATAAATATATCATCTTTATCGCTTTCCCATTTCCATGAGTGGTATGATGCATCAACCCATCAGCAATTGGGAAGAAAATTGGAAAAAGGAGTAATGATATAAAAAATGCCCACCCCCATTAATTCACCATATATTCTGCACTGCATACTGCAGCATTATATATAATGCAGTCCTTAGGTGGTGTAGTGGTAACACAGTGGTGTATTTTCCCCAAGCACTAATGATGTATATTACTCCAGCTTTTCCTTGCACAACTGGTTTACATATGATGGGATCAAAATTAAATTTTCCCCAGACACTGTACGTGTCATTGGATCAACAATTTGCTCTAGTTCTTCATTCGTTTGTTATGTTTTTAATAACCTTAATGTGCATTATGTTGTGTGTGTGTGTGCCCTAGATGCCAATATGCCCATTTTATCAGTGTATCATCTTTTCCCAGGAAAATGACCCAGCTGACTTGGATTTAACATTTAGTGTGGATGAAGAATCTTTTGGAAGAACTTCTTCTCATAGTCTTAAAGAAAATGGAGCAGAAATTCCTGTCACGAATGAGAACAAGAATGAATACATTGAGTGAGTGTTACTATATTGTGCTGACAGCAGCCTTTCTTTCCGTCTTACCAAAAAAATATGATCTGTAGGTTACTTTGTCTTGAGGTGGTTTTGTGGATTAATGGCATCCTGGTTGGTGGTCTGGTCAACCAGCCAGTTAGACACCACTGCTTGCAGTCTGACGAATGAATCACAGCCCTGTTGACCAGGTACCCTTTGGAGGTATTTATAACATCTAAAGAATGACAGGTAACATTTTATATTTTGTTAAATTTTGTTTAAAGCTAATGGAAATAATAATGTTTGTGTTTCTGTGCTATTGCATTCAGTTACTCCCAGAATAAATTTCATTCATTGAAATGTGCAGTGCATATTTCTGTTTAAACTTTTTGAAGGTCAGTGCATTACAGTGGTATTTTGTGTATATAAGGACATTTTTGATCCTGAAACACTTCCTATTTTTTCCCAGAAGACCTTAAACCAAGTGCTTTGTGGTCTGGTTTGACTCAGGGTCTCAAGGAATTCAACCCCACATTTACACAGGAGTCTACAATAAATATTTGTATATTGTGATAATGGTAAAATAAGTTTCAAATCATTAAAATTTGACAGAATTTAATTCCTGTTGTTGGGCTCAGGAAACCTATATGTAGGCTTATCAGGGTCTCCCTATGCTAACTACTGACCTTCCCCAGGATGCGACTCACAACAATTGCCTAACTCGAGTACCTATTTGACTGCTAGGTGAACAGATGCATCAGATTAAAGAAATGTGCCCAACCATTTCTCTCCAACCCAGGGATTGAACCCAGGTCCCTCAGTTGTGAGCTGAGGTCATACACCACTGTTCTATGCTGTCCCAATATATATATATATATATATATATATATATATATATATATATATATATATATATATATATATATATATATATATATATATATATATATATATATATATATATATATATATATATATATATATATATATATATATATATATATATATATATATATATATATATATATATATATATATATATATATATATATATATATATATATATATATATATATATATATATATATATATATATATATATATATATATATATATATATATATATATATATATATATATATATATATATATATATATATATATATATATATATATATATATATATATATATATATATATATATATATATATATATATATATATATATATATATATATATATATATATATATATATATATATATAATATAAAAACATATTTTAGTGCTTTCATGTGTTATTAATGAAACGTATTTCTACTATGATGATGCAGTTCTTAGTTTTATCAGTCTGTATATTTGCTGCCTTACACTAATTAGAAATTGTTTGCAGCATCACTTCTATAATAACATAATATTCTCTCTTGCTTCCCATTCTCAAAAGTCTTTAATGGAAAGTTGAAATTTAATGAAAGGTGAACTTATACTGATGCTGCATTTCTTAATAAAAATTATTAGCATATTTTACACAAGCTCAGCTGTCTTTTATTGAAGTACTGTACTGTAATTCTCAAATAACCTTAATAATCACATCAGCAAAGGCTTTTTTCTTAGATGTCACAAGGCTGGTCTTACAGTGGGGTGCAAGTTCAGTTAAACTACCATTTGTTCTGACACATGACAGTGTTTAGGTTATTTAAACAACAATTATGTTTACAGGCTAGTTATTAACTGGCGGTTTGTCCAACGTATCCATAATCAAATGGAAGCCTTCCGAGATGGCTTCAATGATGTGGTACCAGTCTCCCACATTAAGATTTTTGACGAGGTCAGTAGTTATTTTGGTTATGCTTCCTGTAGTGTGAGTTTAAAAGAAAAATCCATAAAATGTCAAAATTTAAGGAGAAAACATTCAGAAAATCCTTAAAGGCTTAAGTAAATAAATTAGAGTAATGTTTGTGGTTAACTAGAGAATTAACTAAATAAAAGACGGAAGGTGTAATCTAGTCCCTGATCTGTTTGTGTATTATGATTCTTTGAAGCCAAAATTTGGATTATAATGTGACTTCTGTTTATGGCAGAATGAGCTAGAGCTGCTCATGTGTGGCATTGTCTCGATTGATGTCAAGGATTGGAGAGCGAACACAGTCTACAAGGGAGAGTACCACCCTAACCATATAGTCATTCAGTGGTTCTGGCGGGTAAGTACCTTGTGAATTTACATTTCGGGGTTTTGATTCTTTTGTCTACGACGCTTTGTTTTTGACATGCTGATGCAGTTTGTTACAATTGCATTATTGTATACTGTAGTATATTTCTTTTTATATAATTGCTACTGTATTTTAGATTTGTAACAAAGTTAAATAGTTCAAGAATGTGATTTTATAAATATAATTTTTCTTTTTTTAAGACTACTGTATTCTCTCCCTTATTTTATTCTTCTTCAGGTTGTTCTATCTTTTACAAATGAAATGAGAGCCCGTCTGCTACAGTTTGTTACTGGTACTTCACGTGTTCCCATGAATGGGTTCAAGGAACTGTATGGCAGCAATGGACCACAGCTATTCACTATAGAGATGTGGGGAGAAACTAAAAATTATCCTCGTTCTCATACATGGTAAGTCATATTACAGTATTGTGTTAAAAATCAACATTATAAATTCATATTTTAGGGACAACATTATTTTGAACTTTTGCATTTTAGGGTTTAATTGCAAATGGAAATATTATATTTGAAACAATTACTATATGATATTTGCAGAGTCTGCCAAATGTAGGTAAATGTTATGTTAGGAACATGCACTTAAGTCGTAAATGCTTCATTTGTAAATGTAGGTGATGAAACTCTTTATTTTCAGCTTTAATAGGCTGGATCTGCCTCCGTACCAGTCATATCATGAACTCCGCGAGAAGCTTATCAAGGCGATTGAGGGCACTGTGGGTTTTGCAGGAGTTGATTAAATGCATCTTGTAGAATCCTCAAAAAATGGTGGTTTAAGTAGAAAAGTGAAATAAAATACAGTGAAAGAACATGATAAAAAGAAAAAATGTAATATATAATTATTGCAATGTGAAACGCTTTAGTAACTGTTTTGGCATAGAAGAAATCTGCTTTGACAGAAAAAATCTACTTTTACAACAAAGGGAACTGCTGAACTTTCCACTGAAGCTTTAATATGTCCTAAATTATGTTTCTTACAACTGTAGGATGAGATTAAGGAAAATTAACTAATTAAGTTATATATAACATAATTCAAGAGAGGTAACAAACAAATATCTTGGAAAAAGAAACAGTAATTTTTACTGTCAATGTACCCAGAATTCTCATTCAAATTCTTGATCACATTTTTAACATCTTTAAGATTAATCTACTTCTCTTTCTTGTTACATAGTAGGTTAGATATTCCTCCTTGTTTGTTACAAGGTTAGTGATTCATACCACAGCATCTAATTGAAAAAGGAAATATTTATAAGGTAACCATATTATAGCTTTTTATTGACACCTGAGTATCAGTAAGTCAATATTTTATAAATGAATTTGGCAGTGATATACTAGCCCCATTGTTTGTTAAAATGAAAAACTTTACATATTGTGATATAAATGTCATATTTAGCTGTTGGGAGCATGGCTATATAAGCTTGTACATGTCCTTTAGTATAATTGGTTTGTTCATATGTAAGTGATTTATATGTAAGGAGGTGAGCATATGTGATTGTATATATACTTAGGTGTGTGTGTGCATGCCTGGGTTGCATGGAAAAGTTTGAATGTATGAGTACAGATATTTGGGTGTTATTTTTGCATTTATATATGTTTGTGCATGTAACCGTGTGTGAATGCATAGTTGCATCCATTTGAGTGTGCATATGTGAACATGTCGGTATAACTATAGGTGCACGTACCTAAAATGTTTTGAGTGTTATGTGTGTGTGTGTTGATATGGACTTGAATGTTCTTATGCTCCACGTTCACATGCTCAGCATTGATTGAATGTACACTTCTGCAAAAATGAAACAACTGCATATAAAATTCCATGTGCACCGGGCAACAAGAGTCCTCTGTATGCAATGCTTTGAATGGAGGGTTCTCAAGCTCACTTAAAATTAATGTATTCTGCGAATCAAGTAAACACGATTTCTTCTTTGTTCTCTTTACACAGCTTTTCTGTTTTAGATTTTTATGATTATCCATTTAAAAGTGGAGAGCCATGTATGAAGCTTTACAAATGATCCATAAATGTGTATGGAAAAGATGGATGCTGTTATATTTTTGCATGATTTTGTTAGCTTTTTTTTTCCTTCTCCTCTTCATTCCAATTCTTGTTTTAAGTGTCTGTAATTTGTATATATTGACACAGATGCTTTGCATGGTTTCAACCAAAAGGAAAAGATTGCTGCCTGAGAAATGTGGATGGAATATTCAGATTTCTCCATTAAGTTAAGTTCATTGAATAACTATTGTTAGGAAAAAATAGACATTAAGTGTAGCTGTATTTAGTTTTTTGTAAGAAACAAGGTAACATTTATGACAGTTTGTGTGTTTTTTGTCATCTTTTAATGGTCAAAATAATCAAACTATAAAATAATGTTTACATCATTAGATTTCTCTCAAATGGTAAATATTAGGTATCAATGAAAACTTTGTTAACTAGTGTAAACAAACATTACAATATCCACTATTATTCAGGTAATACTAATACAGTACCTTGTGTTTATATAAAGCATTTTGGTCTTGACATTTAAACAATAACACTTTGTCAATTGTTGGATACATTTGGAGAAAAGCAGAAAGCCGTTTTGCTTCTCTTCTGAAGGAACATATTTCCCCCCCCCCCCTTGTATATTGGCAGCTTCACAATTTTTATTTGAAATTTTTCAATTTAATGCTCTTTTCAATTCCAAAATAATTAACATTACAAAGCAATTAAGTTTTCTTAATGTCTTTTAACAAATTATTCGAGCAGGTTTACAAGCATGTCCTTGGTGTACAGTACTAACTTTTCAGTCAGAAAAGTATTGAGGATATTATAGGAAGAATTATTTACATTTGTTACTTCTTTTTTTTTAGCAAGAAAATTAATATGCTGTTTTTAATTTTTAAATTTAAAAAGACAAAAATAATTGATATGGCCATTTGTAACTAATGGCAGAAGGGGAACTAGCAGAAGCCGGGTGTGTAAAATGGTTCAAAATTATGGATTCCCTTGTGAAGTGTATGTGTGTGTATATGTGTGTAATTAAAATATATATATTATTATATACATACATATATACAGTATAATCAATCACTCACATTCTGATTTAAATTTATTAGCTGGATTTCTCTTGTAATGGTAATTTCTTTTAATGAATCTTTATGGAATACTTTAAACTTTGTTGTTGAAAAAAAGAAAGCTGCAAAAACAAACGAACTATATTTAACCCAAAAACTCATTAGTTATGAAATTTTAAGTACACTATATGTAATAGAGAGACATTTAATTATCTGTTTATTATAACCATATACCATAAGCAGTGAAGCCAAGTTATAAACTTGTTATATTGCATTTTATTTTATTATTGAGAAATTTCTATATTATATAAATTCCTCAATAACAAGGAAACTTGTTTTACTCACTTCTTGATTTTCTAGTCCCCCCTACTCTTCTATCCTCTCATTATTCATCTATTCCTTTAAAAAAATGTATTCTCTGTCTTTTTACATCTTCTGTGTCCATTGTTATCTTAAACTGCATAATCACTAATTGGTAAACCCTGCTTGCTTCTACGTCTCAGGTAGTGTACAGAGTAGTTTCAATTGTCAGAATGACCACATTACAATACTTTTGGTTATTTTAGGGATGCATTGCTGTGGAGGATCAAAGAGGTGCTCTGTGGTATGTACTGTCTGTGCATAGGCCAGATTCACAAAGCAGTTACGCAAGTACTTACGAACATGTACTTACTTCCTCAATCTTTGATGGCTTTGGTTACATTTATTAAACAATTTACAAGCATGAAAACTTCCCAATCAACTGTTGTTATAGTTATAAACAGCCTCCTGGTGCTTCGGAGCTCATTAACTGTTTAATAATTGTAAACAAAGCTGCCAAAGATTGAGAAAAGATGTGCAGGTTTGCAAGTGCTTGCGAACCTGTACATCGTAAATCTGGCCCCATAATCAGGGGGGAGGGTGCTCTGTGACACTGAGGGTTTCTTTATTGAATAAGAATATTATGTTATGGAAAGCTTTCTTTTATTGGTTTGCAAATGCTAAATTATGGCAGGTGTATCTATGTTTTGGAGGTAGCCTTTTCCTTCACTAGTTAATCTTGCCAACAAAAAATACTTTTACAACAGCTCCCTATCCCTTCTCCCCTCATGTTTGTATATATTATGAATGTGTTTATGCACATTTATGTATAAAGGATTTTAATAGATGTAATATATTAGCTTGTAGTTGGGTTACTTGGTGTTGACACCTAAGAGTTAATGATTGTGGCTGGTTGTATTCACCCGTAGAGTTTGCAACGCTCTCGGGTGTAAATAAGAAACATTAAAAGTTGGCCTTACATTGTCAATAATTCTATATGCTAGTACCATTGTCATCTTGCATTATGAAACTAAAACCAGAAGCTGTTGTTAAAAGGGATTTGTCGTATGTGATTTTTAAGACATTTCATAGATCCATATGCATCTGCTGTGGAGGAACGCTTTAGTCATATGTGTTAGGAATTATTTTTCTTTAACGTGTATATTATAGATATAATTAATTTCTTTGTTCAAACAGCTCATTTTCTATCAGATAAAGGAGTTGTCTGTTTACTGTTTTGTTTTTCGTTTTTTGTTTTTTAATAGAGGATGCATTCATGTCAGTATTTTAATACAAGGATTTGCACTGATCAAACATGTGTCATATTGTAGTTGAAATGGATAGAAGCTATTTCCATAGTTATCACACTGTGAGGCTGATGATGATTACATTATGGTCTCCCAGCTAATACATTCCACAAGATTCTGTCCATATTGTAGCAGGGAAGTAATTACAAACTCTTTCCTTTAGTTTTAGCTTAAGATTTATTACCAAACTAAACAAAATTTAAGATAAATTTTCTTTCAATAGTTCACCTAGATGGCCTTGGATTTGGTTATTTTAGTTATATTTTTGATACATTGATATCTCTTTAGTAACTCCCCATCCAAGTTGGGTGGCTATATGTAGAATTTTTCCCAGACTTTCAAATGCTTTCAAGTGTTAAAGAGACCCTTGAAGAAACCTAGGAACATTTGTCTAAAAGTTTTATAGGATGAGATTGTCAATAAAAATAAGCAATTTCCACATTGGCATTCATAAACAATAGTGTGTGAAAATAATCATGATGCAGAGAATGTCACAATAACATGGCAGAAACAAATAACCCAACCCACAGCACATGAAAAGGAATACTATCACACACTGTGTCTGGGTTGGGTTATGAATGTCATATTCCTCGGCCAACACATGAAAGTGAGGAAGTAGAAGGGAAGATGCGTGAAAAATCAATTCTGTCAAATATGAATGGGTGATACGTAGTGAGGGTTATGGCAGAAATGGAGAAAATCACCAAGCAACCCTGCATTTAGAGTGTAGCTAAGCTTGGGGGGTGTGTGTAGTCAAGTATCAAAAGAAGGCACCAAACCGGGAAGGCTATGTAGTGTGTGTAGTCAAGCTGAAAGCAAGTGTACCCAAGTTTGGTGCAAATAATCAATGGTGAAAAAGAAACCATTGTCACAGCCTTTACTATTGTATGAGTATGGATTTTTATCAAAATTATATGCTGTTGTTGACTGAAGTTAAGAAGGACAAATGTTCCTCAGACAATATAGGATTTCCTTTCTATCTCATAAAACATAACACAAGAAGCACTTGTCATATTGAAACACCTTGGGTTTTCTCATATTTTATAATTTGGTAAGCCATCATATGTACTGTATAATAACTATCATTTTAGTAGCAAATGCAATTTTGGTATTATCTACGTTGTTCTTTACGTTATGAAAGTGACCGATAGCATATAAGCTTAAAGTTTAAGTTACAAACTAATGTCACTAATGTGCATTTCAAGATCTAAATTTATCGTTTTGTGTACACTGACATGATTTCATCTTCAAAATATGGCTATTCAAGTTATCACGGTAGCCATATAGCAAAAGCTGCATTGTTATATTTTTTGTTTCAGCTTAGCAAATTTGTCCTACTTATCTATAGTAAGAGATACAGCCAGATGTATACACTGGTTTATGTACTTTTGAAATGATTTTGATTCTCTGAAACTTTAATTTAAAATTATACGTTTTTTAATTAAAAAAAAAGATGGAGTTTGGTAAAGGCCTCTGTCAATTTGTTTAAAAGTCTTATAATAATGTTATAATATTATTATTATAATATTATAACAATAATAATAACAAGCCATTATAATAGCTTATGCTATTGTGTTGCATTTTCTATGCAGTGATAGCACTGGGTTTTGGGAAATTTTCAGCTATAGTGTGTATATTAAGACATAATTAATTGCCCCAATTTGTTTATTGTATGAGCATTTGATTTTTTAACAAATATTTATGTACTTTGGCAAAGAAAGTTGCTGATTTAAAGTATTTTCAAGAACTTTGATGTGGCATGATTATACATTATTCTGAAGCTAGGTTTTCATTGGTTTGTTCCATGATGTTTGCTTGTATTAATTTTATGATTAATGTGTACAATATATGTTGATATTTGGTCTTGGGAAATCTGTATGATAAATATATAAAAAAAAAAGAATGCCTACCATCAGTTTCAATTCCTTGCTAAGTAATTTATTAGGGGTTCTGTGTAGGTTTACTCTGAGACATCCCTTTTCTGGCTTGTCAAGTGGCTGTTTCTCAGCTTTAACAGATTTAAGACAGTCCAGCTTTGCTGGGTACCCTGTCATATTGGTATTACCTCAAAAGAACTTGCAGACAAAAGTTCTGCACCTGCTAATAAGGTCATTTGTGCATGTCCCATTTCCCATCAAGATTCCTTATTCAGATTTCTACCCAACCAATCATACTTCAGTTTGAAATTGTTGGCAAGCTTGATGGTCTATTACGGATAACAAACTGCATGTTGACCAGACCACACACTAGGCGAAGGGACGATGACGTTTCGGTCCGTCCTGGACCATCCACAATCGATTTGAGAATGGTCCAGGACGGACCGAAATGTCGTCGTCCCTTCACCTTGTAGTGTGTGGTCTGGTCAACATACTTCAGCCACGTTATTGGGACTCATCGTCTGCCACAAACTGCATGCTCTTAAATATGACCTCTCCCCTTGGTCTTCCTCCTGCCACCATTATAGGCCGTGGGAGACAGCTTTGACTAGGCAGTGTATCGACCACACATGCTTAATGTATGGACATATAATAAGAAAAATGTCATGCTTCTTATGGTCTATTTGCAATGTGAAAGCCTTGGCCAGTGTTATTGCCAGACTTGAATGTCATGTGGGCCCATCTATGACATCTGAGATGGGTCATGAACCATGTAGACCCAAATGGTGCAAAAATATAATGCAAAACCTGACATCTAACTTCATGAATGCTTGTTGGAGACTTTTCATGGCTAATGAAAATTAGTAACCTAGTCAAGTGAACAGTTTTGAATTTATCATTTCAATTATGTGCATGAAATATTGTTACAGAATCAAGTGGAATATGAATGTTATATAATTGTTAAATACCCTAATTATATACATGAACAAATTATATATTGTTTACTGTAAAATTCATGTACTCTTAATATGAAATTACTGAACTGTCGGATCCCATGTCTGCATTAACCCTAGTGTAATTTACCTAAGTGTAGTTACAGGATGAGAACTAACACCTGTGGTGTCCTATCTTCCCTATAATCTTTTATCACATGGCTTTTTGAAAATGCTGATGGTTTTGGCATCTACTGCCTCACTTAAATTGTTCCAACCATCTACAACTTTGCCAAACAGAATTTTTAGATATTTTTGGACATTTTTTTAAATGCGTGTGTGTGTGTATGAGAGAGGTTGTCTTTTGTAATTACCTAAATGTAGTTACAGTATGAGAGTTACATTCACAATGTACTTACTCAATACTTGCTTGGGGATCTGGGGAGTTCCTCTACTCACCAAACTTCCCAGTTTGTGTACAATCTTCCCCGGACACTGTCATATGATGCTTTGAAACTACTGACGTTTTTGGCATGCATCACCTAACTTGTTCCAACTGTCTACCAATCTGAAGAGGAGTCACAATAACGTGACTGAAGAAATGACCAAACCACAACTCAGAAGATGGAGAAGCTATGACGTTTCGGTCCATCCTGGACCATTTACAAGTCGTGTGATCTTATTCTCTATCTTCTGAGATGTGGTTTGGTCCTCACATATACCACTCTGTTTG